AAAAGATTTGTAAAATGTATGTATTGAAAAACATAATGTTTCTGCATTATATTATAAAAGTCGTATTTAACTTCAAGATTTTGTTTAATTTGCTCTAATTGAATAAGATGTGTGTATATTTCATTACTTTTTTATAAGTTTGTAAAATTTATAAAAACAGTAGTTATTGCATTTAAAATTTTATTTTTGTAATTTAAAACCATTTTATAATAAAGAACAAAATTAAACAGTGACATTTTTTTCCATTTTTCTGAAATATATGTCACTGTTAAGGGATTAAAATATTAATGCATTTCTTGATAAAAATAAAATTGGAGTTGTTTTATTAAATTTTTGTTAATAGATCTTTTCTTCATCAAGTCACTGGGGTACCTCGGGGTCGTGAAATCCCGTGTTTATCTAAAGAAGATAAACCCCCTGAGGGAAATATACAAAACAATTTATTGAATTATCAAAGCTTGTACATTTCTAACATAAAGAATGCTAGGCGAATACGCAATATGCATTAGTGTAGTAAAAACAATCCTAGGCAAATTTTAATTTATTTATTTTCCTTCTGATTATTTCTTATCTACAATTATATGTAAAAAAAAAAAAGGTTAAAAAAATATCACAGTCTCTAATGTTTGAAAATGTAAATAAATTTTGAAATAAAAGACAAATATATTTTCAATAGAGCATTTATTAAAAAACCAATCTGATGTGTAAGTCACACATCACAAATTTCATATACATAATGCATACACGACTACACAACTTTTCTCAGGCCAGCTGGAATATAAAAAGACACCTTTGCATTTTAATAAAGCATTAAACGAAAGTGAAAAAAAAAAAGTAAAATAAATACATATATATTTATATATTAGAACAAATCTTTCATAACATTATACAATAACAGATACTCTAAAGATACAAAGAAATATTTCGGAAATTTAGCTTTTACTACAGCTGGATTTATAAATAGCAGTTGCTGCAGACTTACTGAGTGTAATGAAAGTTTAAGAAATCATTGAGGTTCTGTATCGATTTTATAACAGCTTTAAAAATGGTGTGTAGTTACCACTACAAGATAAGTCAAACTAATTATAGTATAATGATGCATCTCAGCAAGAAGACCAGAAATAAATTTGTGGATAAATTAATATGTATGTGTACCAACAGGCAATGATGCTTTTATGTAATAAATGAAACTTTTTCTCATGCTAACAATAATAATTTGAAAAATATTTTCTGTAGTAATATATTAGGCATGAGATTGCATTTAAAAATAAAAAGAGGAAAAGGACATGAAATGATTTAAAAAGAAAAAAATTAACAATATGGTTGATTATGTTGAGCAAATTTATTGCATTTTTGTTTATGTGCTGCTTCATGAGATACATAAAATTTTACAATAAGTATTACATTTATAGGGATTTAAACGATTTTTTTAAAACATTTAACAGAAGGATAAACTTATCAGCAATGGATGAAGAGGTCAGTAAGCATTTGGAAATGTTTGAATTATTGTGGAACAATGGAATGTTAATAACATAAGGTTTCGATTAAATTATAACGAGATTAAATAAGATGTTACCGACATATAACTATTGCTATTAATGACTTAAGACCACAGAAGGCTAAGTTTAATTGACAAAAAATATGAATTTACAAATTTTATTAGTTGATGAATTCTGCTTAAAAGCCGGTATTGAAAAATTCAAATTGACAACACCTGAATTCAATCTTCACCAATCTATAGTTTTAGAGTTGATTTTGATTAATTTTTATAAAAGAATGATTAGAGAGAGAGACAGGGATGAATAATAAAGCAGGAAATAATGGATTCATGGAAATGGATCCAGGAAGAAAAAAAATCTCATGCCTGAACATTAAAAAAGTAAAATAAAACGAGTAATATTTTATAATTTTTTTCAACCAAAATAAGTGTAAATAATTGTATAAAGATTAATAATTATAAAAGTTTATGTAAGTATCAAATTTAATGTATTTGAGTTTTGTCTTTTAAATGCAAAAATGTTATTAAGCAAGGGATCATTGTCAAATTAAGAAAGAAGGAAAAAAGAAACAGAGGAAAGGGTTTATTATAAAATTGTGGAGCTAGTAATTTGTGCAATCACAAATCCATAATTCAAATTCAATAATTTTTTCATATTTCAAAAGCTTAACACGGATAAAAGACAGGATATCCAATAAAAACAATACCCTCTCATTTTATGAAAAGCTTGATACTATTCCTCAATGATAAAAAAAAAAAGAGTTAGAAATCAATAATTAACTTTAAAAGAAAAAAAAATATCTGCTGTTAATTTTTGAGCTTATGATATATATGTATGTAACTCTTAATAATTTAGAATTTTTATATTAACTATTAAAAATAATAAAATAATTATCCCTAGAATTTTTTTGATTGAGCCAATAATTTCATAATTGATATACATACAAGTATAACAGGTCACAAAATAATAAATATACATATGCAAGCATAATTCAATGTATAACTATTTTAAAATATATATATTTCTGCTTTAATAATAATAGAAATAACTGCATATCAATTAGAGCATAACATTTTACACAAACTTTTTTCGTCTCATAAATTAACACAAATGACAACATAAAACTACACAAGACAAAATTCCTACAATAATAATACTGGAGAATCACTACTTTGAGGAATTATATTATAATCGTAAATAAACTCACAGAGTGTGCGACTTAACAAATATTGTACAAAAATATAAATCTTACAAAAACAAATATATTGTGCAAAATTTAAATTGTTTTGATCAATCAGTAAAATGCACCAATTATTATAAACAAAGAGAAAACAAACAAGCCAGCATACTAAGCAAATACAGATAAAGCATAATTTTTTTAAGCTACATCACTCCTTAAGTAAATGGTAAATTTCATATAAATAGTTAGTTTAATTATGCAAAGCTATAAATTATAAACTAATCACATGGAACAAGCTACACTGTTTTTAGCAACACTTTTCCTTAGGTAAATGGCAAATTTCATATAATTAGTAAGTTAAATTATGCAAAGTTATAAATTATAAACTAATCAAATGGAAACAAGAAAGATCAAATTCAAATGTTTCTCAAAGCTCAACACCTGACTCAACAGAACCCTAGCAGCAAAATAACTCGAGTCCTCACTAGACCAACATTCACGAATCTTGGGTCAAAAAGTGTTGAATAGGCCGTTATTTTCTGATATTGGCCCGATATAGAATTGTCCGATTCACCCGATATTTTACAGCCACTTTACAACCAATATCAGCCCAATATAGAGCTTTCAGATTCACCCGATATTTTAGATTTATTATTCAGCCAATATAGGCTCTACATAGGACCAATATTAAAAAATCTAGACATCCCAATATTGGTACTACGGTGGATGTTCATGTAGGACCCATATTGAGCCAAACTGGGGCCTAGGTCAAATTGTTGGCTAGGATATATCATAAATTTTAGCTACAACTTTAAGGTAAAACTCAACAAAATCAAAAAAAGTTTGTATAAATTTTACCAATGCAAGTAAGGAGTCAAACAAAAATTTGTTGTCAATTTCAAATATACTTAGCTCTTAATGGTTAAGAAACTGTATAAATGTGAAGTCTTGAAATATAAGAGACGCCCAGCACATTTTTTAATGCATAACTTAGTGAAAATTCACAAAAAAAGCTACTCTTTCTTTAAAATAGTTTTAGATATACATATTCAGATATAATTAACTAATTAGAGTTACAATTCTTATATTTTTTATTAAAAATAAATATAACTTTAAAAAAAAAATTTTGTGTACAAAAAAAAAAACACATTACTGTGATTTAAAAATTGCAACTTCAAAATAGCACTTCAGTTAAAAAACACTGTTACATAAAACTGATATCGGTTCAAATCTAAAAATTGTGCATAGTTACTTAAAAATTCAATAACAAAAGATTTCACTAGTCAATAAAATATATAATATCAATTCAATAAATAATCTCAAATTTCCTAGGCATCCTCAACATAACATCTGAAAAAAATGGGTTATTAAACGCATTTTTTAAAATATCTCACAAAAAATATATACTAATCTGTATTTGCCAAGTATTCTAAAAATTTTCATATCAATTATTAGAAAGTAAATCAAATATTAAATACGATTTTAGGATAATAAATGCAAAATAAAATTTATACACCCATAATAGCATTTAGCTCGCTACATTCTGTTAAAAAAATATTAAAATAATACAGAAGATAAAAAGTTATACTATGAAATAAATAATGTATCAATTTTAACATATCACAATGTGTTTTTTTTTTATACTGCAAATTTCATCATTTCTTAATAACTTTAAAAAAAAAATCAATAAGTTAAATACATACATGTATATTGATTTATAGTAATGTAACTTAAAGATTAACAGTTATTGCTTTTAAAGAATTAGAAACAGTGAACTAACAATACCAAGAAAAAAAATTAACACATCATTTTTAATAAAGATGATTTTACTTTCACAACGCAGGGCAATATAGCTATTGCTTATAGTTTAATACTACAGAATTTAACCGCAGTTATTAACATGGTTGACTATTTTATAGTACATCATTTCAGAATTTGTATCTAATAATATCAATAATCTCAGAAACATACTTACTAAATGAAAAAAAATTAGAATTAAATATTATAATTTTCATAACTAATGATTTTTGCACAAATTGATATTTAGGGAGAACATTATAAAAGAATATTCAATATATCACATAAAATAACAATACTAGCTCTAAATTAAAACTTATTAATTATTAGAGTTGTAGGTTAATGATTCATAAAAAGTTTTCAATACTAATATCAAAATAATCAAGAAAATATTAGTTTGCCAAAAAAAGGGAATTAATATGATGTAAAAATGTATAAATTAAAAAGAATTTCTTTTAGTTTCAGTTTGGCTTTGGTATATATTATATAAAACAAAGTATAATCATAAAAAAGCATGAACTCTAACTGAATCACTCACTTAACACCACGCTAATCTCACCTTTGTTTTTTAGTTACAGTTAAAGGCACATTCAGCTTTTATGCAAGTCAAGCCTTGCAAGTAAAAATCCAAACTGTTTTATCTTGTGAGAACAAGATATAACATTCTAAATTTTATCAAGGAAAAGAAGATTAAATTGTCTATCAATAAGAAATAAACATCATAAATACAAAGAAAATATTTTTTTAACTTTTTTTTTTAAAGTTATTAATATTAATGCAAGTAGTTTATAGATAACTATAGATTTCAACAGTTTCTTTCTTCTTTATTCTTTTTTTTGAATTGCTAAAACTGTGTCTTATATATTTATTTAAGTAAATGCTCCAAAACGAAGCAAAAAAAGGAGGGGGGAAATTAGATATTGTTTCATTCTAAAGGTAACATAAAACATTATTTTTTTCAATTGATACACATTATACTCATTTTTAATGATATTTGATTATTTAATCTATATCTGTTAAAATATATGGTAGTTGACTTTTGTATAAAGAGGGCAAAAATAAAAAAAAACTTTTATAAATGCACACATTTTTTTTATTTATTTCTGGAAATTTAGAAAATTTCAATTTTTAAAAATTCCTAACAGTGACAATATAAATATCTCCATTTCTTAGTTTTTGCATAAAAAGTAATTTAATAATACTTTAACTGGCGCTTTGAAAAAAACAATTACAAGAATTTTTAAGTCAAGAGACACATAAATGAAAACTTCTTAAATACTGTCTTTTAATAACAAATATTTACATAAGCATAAAGAATTGGTAAAAAAGAAGTAGCTTCATTAGAATGCAGCTATGTCAATAATAAAAACATTAAAGCTTCTTAATACTCTACACACTATAACACAATTCGAACGCTTAAAAAAATTATTCTCTTACATCTTGGAATTCTTAAGTTTAGTTAGTAATTTTTAGTAGTTAGTTTAGTTAGTAATTAATCAGTTTATAATAATTATAACACCTACATTTTAGTTACATCTTATCAAAATTCACTTGATTCAGTATTAAAAAAAAGCAAAAGAAATGGAAACGATCTATCAAATTGTTTACATTTTTGATAAATATTTTATATATTTAATAAAATCTGTTCTATAGCTGGTTTATTAAAATTCTTGATATAATGGTATTTTATTAACAAAAAGGTTTTAGTTATAACAAGATAGATATTCATTGTGTGCTTGCCAATATTCATTATGACAATTGTACAAGGACTGCAAAGTGTTATTTTTTAGCTAATACTAATGATAGGAAATTAAACTTTTCTATGGAAAAAATGCTTTATTTTGTACAATTTTAAAGCCTTAAATTTTAAGATCCAGTTTAGTTGGATCAATATATTTTTTTTAAATTTTTTTCTCTTACAAAGTTCCAATTCGATGTACTTCTGAACCATTTTTATTGTCATTTATTAAATTAGCCACAAATAAATATATATTATAATTTCTAAATAATAAATATAATTTACTAGAGAATTGTAATTGTTTTTTAATAAAAAATTATGTAGCATAGGAAAGTTAAAGGATTTTTAATGTTTTTCCCACAGAAATCTATTTTTAGTTTCAACACTATTACGCCAAGTCAACCTATAAACTTTACAGTGCTTGATTGATTGAAAAACAATTGTTGATAAAAATGAAGGAATCTAATTTCTAAATTACAAAAGTCTAGATGAATATTAACACAGCTTATGCCATTAGTACAAGCTGAACATGCCTTTGCTGTATGCAATGAAGTATTTGTGATGGTTAATGCTTAATGATCAAGTTTCCCTTAGAATGATAAGTATCGAAAACCCGTGATTACATTTTATCAAAGCTTAATGAAGACGAGCACAATATGTACACATTGACATAACTGGTCAGATGTAGCAGTTAGTAATGATGATGTTGAAGCTTTGCGAAAACAGTAACTACAGTCAGGCGGCTTCTACCATGCTGAGTGGTTGAGCGGTTAGCAGTATTTAGTCCACTACTGTTACAGAGAAATGGAAGTAACACTCAACTCTGCAGGCCAAAAGCAGTGTTACAGATAATTATCTTTCTTCAATAAATATTTTTGGGCATCAAATATTCATATAGTTGCTCTTGCACACCTTTTATAAACACACTTTGCAAGTGATTTGCAATAGTAACAATTTAGGTGTCTCTTCATGTTTCGAAAGAACAATACAAAAACACAAATGTAAGTAGCACATCAAAACTTTTGATTCTCTGACAGCTCATCAACGTAAAGCTTTCCTTTAAACGTAACTCCAACAACGACACTCTAAACTATCTTCATAGACAAAACTCTTCTGATTCAGTGAGGACATTTCATTCCTTTTTAAAGATGCAGAAGAATGGTAAAACATGACTAATCAAAGATCTAAGGGTAATAAAGAAGGCATTAGGCAGTGCTAGCAAAGAGTTACTCGTAAAAAAGATGATCATGCCAACTAACTTGAAGTTTCCTATCGCTTTCCACCTGTATCCACCACTTTGCTAGTTTTATTAAAATGCGATATCGCAAAGACCACAGAAGTGTTTTACTTTGCGACGACAGGTAATACTTAAATTTTGAGGCAAAGTGACTGCAGTAATGACTGACAAAAACTGGAGGGTAAGAAAGAGAGAAGGCAATATTTTGTTTATTTTCAATAGAAAGAAAAAAAAAGAGTTTCATTTCATCGCACATAGTGAGCTGGTGAAGAAGCAGCACAATCATCAGGAATTATTTATTTTTTGATTCCGGTAACTGCATTTCATCGATTGTCGAGCACGAGTTGACAATTTGCAAGCACGTAATCGCTTCACGGCAAGAGAAGCAGTGGCAGCCAACACGGAGCCCTCTTTTACCATTTGAACAAGTAGCTTTTGATCAAAGCATTTATGAAATTTGATTGTTCAGTTATGCTAAAAAGGAAATCACTCTATACCAAATGTGCTGGATTCTTCAACTGCCAATAAAAGTTTTTCATAAAGCATCTCATAAGAAGTATATGGTGGAAGGTCCAAACGGTTGAAACAGGTATGAGCTCTAGTAAAAGAAAAAATGGTTACAATTAAAAATTAATATATAACAATGGTAATCAATGGAATAGTAGCACAAGTTATTAATGATATTATTGTGACATAAAAAAATTAAAATACATATTAATTCAAATTATTTCCATTTTTCTTCATACAAAGAAACATTATAAAGCACATCAATCACTTCACTGCCCACGGTATCAGGGATAATTGTGACAAAGTGAAAAACCCTAAAAAAATTTTTTGCAAAAATTTGATATAAAAATATCAATTTATCCTTATAACATTTAATAAATTCAGTATACAAAGATTAAAATTATTCTCAGGGTTTAAAATATTCAATAACAGACTTTTTTTTTCAAATTTTTATTAGCAAATAAAACTTTGATAACAGCCTGAATGCATAGCACTCCTAGACTAATTATATAACAGTAAAAAAGTTAACTTAAATAATAACAGTAGCACAATATTCTTTATAGTAAATAAAATTAGGACAAATGATTTACCTTGGTAAGCTAGTTGGTTTTCCCCATTTTTCTATACAAAACCTACGTGGACCATTGCTACCACGAAGAGCTGCAAAACCCTCATACGGTACGCTCGAAGTACCAGTGACAAATTGCAACAATCTAAGCCTCCTTTCATTATCAAACTTTTCAATTGCAAGCCAAAACCATTGTATGACAGGATGATTGTCATGATAACCTAAAACGATTGAGAATAAAAATATATAAAAACCTGAAACAAGGAAATATTTTACAATTATTAAAAGTTTTTAAGTTAATACTTTTTTTTACATGTGGTATTAATCTTATAGCATAAGCTCTATTTGTAACCTTTCAGGCCATAGCCTTATCTTATTCAGCTTTAACCTTAATCATGAGTTTTCTTGGCTGAGATTTCTGCTTTAATCTTCACGACTGGTGCTATTTTTGATAGACTTTCTCCGTGTGCTTTGAGCATTATATAATTTAAACTTGATTTGATAAACTTTTTTTGAAGATCATCGAAAATGGAAGAGAAATCGCGCAATTTGATAGCGTGAAATTATTGGACTGTGAAATATGTGGTAAAATTGCATTTTCATCTGACAATTCACTAACTTCTTTTTTTTTTTAAATCTTGATATCCTTGACAATTCCCAGGGCTTATAACCGTCAATGAACTTTCAGAGATACAGTTTTTTTAATTTCCAAATTTTCATTCCAAATTTAACAGAATCAGAGTTTAGAAAAAGATTTTCTTTTTCATTAATTTCTCTTCGTTTCTATTTTTAAAACATAATGTTTATATAAGGAGTAATAAAACTTTGTCAAGTATTTAATTATAATGTTACCAATTTTTTCTTATCCAATTTACTTTTTTTTCATAATGAGCTGGAAAAAAAACTAATCAAATTTGGATTTAAACAGATGTTTTATAACTATCTTTGGAATCATTAAATTTGTAAATTCATTCATTTTATTTTTGATAAGTTATAAATTTTAATATAGTAGTCCAGACAAAGCTTGACTGTTTTTGTATTTTTTCCCCACAAGCTCAGCCAATTACGCTTTGAGTTATAATTTACTAAATACTATTATTACTACATACTATATATATTACTATATTCCTAATACTATATTAATAAATAAAAAGTCGTATTTTAATATTTTTCATATTCCAATTAATGTTTGTATTTCCATTTCCCCTTTTTTAGCTTTTCTTAGTAAAGTANAGCATCCCGGATAATTGGTTCTCTACTGTATTTCCATTTCCCCTTTTTTACCTTTTCTTAGTAAAGTATAGGCATATATTTTTCTATTTATTTCTCTTTCACATTCTCTTCACTGATATGCATTTCCCAAACCCCCTCATAAATCAAAGAGAAAACGAAATCAGATTGCCCCTCTATTATGTTTGATTGACAGCAGTCTATCAGAAAACCACCCTCTCTCTCGGACACACAGGAGAGAATAAAAAATTTGTCCCTTCCCTGCTTTTTCTTCACCTAACGATCTTTAAGGTCAGGGAAGAAATATCAATTTCTGGTTTCCCGGTTGTTTGGACACCGGATAAATGGTTCTGTACTGTATTATGCAATATGATTAAGTAATACTACAGTAAGGAACCGATTATCCAGAACGATCGGGACCATAGCTATTCCGGATAACTGATTTTTCCGGTTTTCTGAATCGCTACAAAAAGCCGTTTTTTTTTTTATTGTTAAACCCAACTAAAAAAATAGTTTTTTTGGAAATAATCTTAAAAAGAAAAAACGATGAAGTAATACACTAATGATTATTTCCAAAATGATGGTAAGATCTTACAAAAAAGAAAGAAAAATCCTAAAATCTTATGAGGAAAAAAAAAATTTTTTTTTAAAAAATGGCAGGAAAATTTATCGAATTTCGTTTTCTGATTTTTGGATAACGGGTTCTGTACTGTATTAACAGAATATAAGTACAAACTCAGCAGAGTAATTCTCAATCAAAGAAATATGAAAGTAAAGAAACCGTATAATGATTTGGTTAGAGATGAATATTTTCAAATTTCTGCTTTAAATTAAGTACATCTTCGACAAAAAGCACAATTATTGGAAGGTCTGAGCTAACATTTATGTCATTTCATTAAAATCTTTTTTGAAACAAAAAAATAATAAAATTTAGAGAATTCATTATAAATTAAAACAAAATTTTTTGGATAAGCATTTTAAAATAAAATAAAAATATTACAAATATGTAAGTCAATGGTACCTTGGAAATAACATTATCATAAAAATATCTTATTAATAATTCCATTATAAAATTTGAGTTTAAATTTTATTTTTGTGGTAGCAGAGGGTATTTTTGCGAAATTTTGTAACTTTCACTATAAGAATGTAGATAAAGAATGTTAAATGTTATAATAAGAGGTTCAATTTTTCGTATTTTTGTCAAAACATATAACAAAATAAAAGTATTCAGCATTGGAAAGTAATGCTGATTGAAATTTCAAATCAAAATGTAAGTGGAACTTTAGAACTCAAGATTTACAACAATTTTGCTTTTCAACGACAAGATTTATAACAAGATTTTAACAATATTGCAAATCAAGATTCCTTATTAACTGAAAACTCAATTGCTTTTAAATATTTCAGTCTCAATAAAACTCCTTGTTATAAAAATACAATAAAATTTAAACTCATTAAACTATGATTTTATTAAACAAAAGTTAATCAGAATAGTTTTTTTTTTTGGATAATACCTGATCGATATTCTGTATTCTTGCGCCAATCACAAATATCTATTTCAGCAGTACCAGCAATAACAAGTTCTAATTCACGGGCATCAAACACTGACACAAGACGTGGATCAACAACCTTATAATAAGAATATACTTTATAAATAAGAAACATGTGAATAATGAAGAATTAGCTTAAAATTAATAAGAATAATATCAATAGGTGGCATTTAATGGAACGTGATTTAACTAATTTAAAATGCAAAAACAGAAATATTACAAACATATGTCAGAGCCGTGATGGCTCAGGGGATAAAGTGTTCGCCTTCCAATAAGGTGAACGGGCTCGAATCCCAGCTATGGCTGATCGACATCCGGCTTGCACCAACCACAATGCTGACGTAAAATATCTTCAGTGCTAAAGGGATCATGGATTAGAGTCCTCTTGCCATCAGGCTAATCGTGGCAGGCTCTCAAGGTTTTCCTCGCCACGGAATGCAAACACATGTTAGTTCACTCAAAAGAGTCCTCCACAAAGGCAAATTTTCCCTAATGCTAGATCCAGAAGTTCCCTTGTCTTCTGGATTGGATTCAAAATGACAAGGATACAGAGTTGAACATTAGTAGTCGTAAACCCAAAACTGGAACGTCTGTTAAAGGATGGTAATATACATACATACATATATATACGTACATATATACATACATATACCACCTTGATCAAAAAGCTCCAGGAATGATCCCCGGGTGGCGCTACCATCGTTCCGATTTGAGTTTTGTTTGTTAAGTTGGTACATCTGTTGTTGATATTCCCTCTAAATCTTAGCGCCGTAGCTTGATATTTGCAAAAGTTACGTAGCCAAGAGTACAGGTTTTGGAGGTTTCACTGTATATATATACATGCAGGCTTCCCACTTTATTTCAGAAATAAACTAGCCCTACTTATCCAGACATTTCAGAAATATTTCATCTTTACACTTGTTTACATAAGAAAAATAAAATTTTTGTATTTAACATACCAACAATTAAATTTTGTGAGAAATAAAATATAACTAAAGTATCACTGAAATGGAGAATTTTCTTAAGGAATAATTTTAGCTTGAGTATTGATAGTTAAATACTTTTACCGGAACTTCTAAGACTGATCAAGTCGAGGCATGACATAAATTTTTCAGGTTTCTGAAGAAAAAATTAGTATTGATTTTTACCTGAATTAAGGCCAAAATTAAATTCCCTAACAATTTCAGGTTTTCCTTAGTCTGGATAAGCCCCAGAAATGTCTTTAAAAAATAATAATATTTTGACAGAAAAATATATTCATAGGAAAAACTACCTCCAGTATAAAACTACTACTACTACTGCCATTATTTCCAAAAAAGAGTAGTTCTCATAATTAATGTACTCACCTCATAGAATCCTTTAACAAGAGATTCTGTCTGTTCTGCGACTCCTCTTTCTAGCCTCCATTTCACCATCCTTTCGATGTATTCCTTTTTATTTCTTTCAGCTACTCCAACATTCTTCCCATTCGTCTTCAGCTCCTTCTCCACTATTTGACCGGCAACTTCTTCAGTGACAGAAAATGTCAAATCCAGACCCATGTCCGATATGTCATTCTCCTTCAACCACAACAGAGACTGGTGAAACTCTGCATCCAAATATTCTAAATCACTCAATGAACAAGGCCTATAAAAACAAGACACATAATATACCATGGAGATACTAATCACATATCCTACTTTGATAGAAGAATGGATGACTTACAATCTTAAGAGGGCTTTGTAAAATGGTCTTGTAAAGAAAGCATCCAGGAGATATTGATGTACTAGCGCCAGACCCAACACTCGACCACTGAATCGGAACCATTCGTGCTGATTGTCAACAAAAGCAGACATTGGACTTACTTGTACAGTGTAAGTATCGTTAGCAGAGTACTCAAATAAGCCATAATAAGGATTGAACAGTTCTCGAGATAACAGGAAAAAGAATTCACGAGAGGGTCCACCATAATCCAGCCTAAAAAATTTTATAATTAATTTTTTATGAAGGATAAACATAAGTCCCATAACACATTAAATATACATATTTTTTTTGTATAAATACAACTCATCAATAAATAAAGTGCCTCTTATAGATCATGTAATGAATACTTACTCTGTTGTTTTTAAAACATTAATGCACAATAAGTTGAATGTATTAACAGGAACATAACAATTATAAAATAATTTAATTCTTGTACGCAATAAGTAGGCTGGTTGAAGTTTATTTGTGTAAGAGCCAGTAATGATTAAATTGCTCTAGGCACTAGACTTAATGTTTATTAGAATAAGGATTGTAATTCTATTGTTTTAATAAATTTGATAAGATTGATAGGGTCACAAACAAAGCTGAAAGGGTAAGGTTGGAATAAAAATTGCATTTTTTTGGCATATAGCAAGATAAGGACAAAATTTATAACATGAGGTAACATAGAGCTATATATTAACTTTCAGTGATTACAAAATATAATATCGTGAAAAATATATCTTTTACGTTAAAGTAACATACTTAGAAAACAAACTTATTTATCTTCCTATGATTAAAATTAATACTTTACTCAAAAAAATAAATTATAAATTGAGTTATTTTAAGAAGTATACTATGAGAATCAACAAATTTTTTTATTTGAACAATCAATGGGAAAGAAATACATTATAAATAGCATCATACATACCCTTCTTCACCAGCAAAACTAATATAAAGTCGAGATTTTTGTAAATCTTTTTTGGAAGCAGCCATAAGTTTAGTAAAGGCATCTTCAAGAAGATAATCCCTTCGAATGTTCAGTCTAAATGTGGGGGAAATAAGTAGTATAAATTTTTGATCTTAAAGAAAAATAATATTTTTTCATTCTTTAACTTTTGCATAAGAGCATTCGGTAATCACAGTAATAGTGTGAGAATAAAATAAATCCATATTTAAAAATTGTGAATAAAAATATATATTTGGATGTCTTAAAAACAGTTGAAATTAAAAGAAAAGTACACAGTAACAAACAATTCAAATAATTTTTCAAGTCATTTAAAAATAAACTTTACAAGGTAAATATAATATCTCTCTTTCTGATATACATAATGAAATATGATGATAGTTTTAAATTTTTACTAGTAAATACTTGCAAGATATATTTAGTATGTCTAAATATACAGCTGTTTATTGTTAGTTGAACTGAAAAATTCAAAATTCACTAGGAACAATTTTTTTTTTTTTTGGTAAGTTCTATTTAAGATAAGAATAAAATAAATAAATTATTTAGGAGTATAGAAATATTATTTCAGAACTATTGTGTTCAAAGTTAATTGTTTTAAAATAATTAAAAATTCAGAAATTATAAATTTGATTTTCTTCAATTAATTTTACAAAATTTACAAAAATCCACGTAGTATTACACTTTAAATGATAATCAAGCATTTAGAGCTTTTGTGCAAAAAGAAAACAACAAAATCTACTGAAGACAAACTAGACTTACTTCATTTTACCAGGACCCTGACCATAACCCTTTGATTCTAACTTCCTATAGAAATTACGGAGTTTGGCTTCAAAGTCTCGTCTGTAAGGAGCAGGGGCACGTACATTTGCTCGCTGTAAGCCTGAAAATCGAATTACAACGTATTATGAAGTAAATACAAGTTCTTTTTAAACACCCGAAAAATATTTTTTAAACACTTAAAAGAAAACATATTTAAGCTATACATTTTCAGAGACTTCATATAACTTTATCAAAATAACTTGCTTCTGGTTAAGAACTATTTTGTGATTTTACTAGCCAACACAATGTCTCATGCAAAAGTTATACAGATACAATATGGAGCTGTTCATTCTGTTCTTTAAAAGAAAATCCTAATTAAAAAAATAATTAATGAATGACACTTACTACTTCTAGAACTGATTGTAGAATAAAATATTATGAAGACTCAAAATCGTAAAAGTTGCAGAGCTGGAAAATTTATTCAAAAAAATATTTAAATGTACGACATATAAATGTACGACCTCATACGGCAAGGGTGTCACAAGACTGTCTCCATACTGTTACTACCCTTTCTTGGCCTACCCTTCCTTGGTCTCCAATCGAGCATATCTGGGATAATTTGGGAATCGCGTCATACATTCACACTAGAGGGGGTCCAACAGGGTATTAACTCCTCCGTTCTTTTGCCTTTTTCTTTGAAATAAATTATCCTTTTTCTTTGATTTTCTAATCATTTACTTATATCAAAGTAGTCATTACGTATGCAAAATTTTGTTTCAATTTGATGACTCCTTCTTGGTGAGCTAATTTTTTTGTTCCTGAGTGTATTTTGTAAGCCTTCAGTCATCAAGTCAATCCGGCTAATTATAGAAAATTTGAAAGATTAATTAGATTATACTAAGATTTATATATTAAAAAGTAAAGAAATTAATTTTGTACGAAGACTAATTATATTATAAAAGTAAAGAAATTAATTTTGCACAAAGACTAATAATAGCACAATTTGTTTAGGGTTAAGATAAAAGGAATTTATAAAAAAAATTATAAAATAAATAAAAAAGATAAAAATCAATTTTATAAAATTCATGTAAAATTGAATGACATAAAATTGATTTTAATAATGTTGATTTGATTTTAACAATTGATTTAAATTAAAATATATTTATTTAAAACTAGTAATAAAAAATGTATATAGTAACAACAGCTTACCAGGAGAAGCTTGCGGTGAGGGCTGAGGCGACGTTCGAGGCGAACGGTGGCTGCTGCTACTACTACTACTGCCATTATTTGCAACGAACTGTGCAGGAATATATGACATAATTTCTTGTTCAAACAAACTAAAAGCAAAATATTAACTAAGGATTATAAAATCACTTCACTTTTAATAAAAATTACATAATTTTATTGGTTATTTCAAATATAGTAGATCCTAGTGATATCCTATTTGTCATGTAATAAGGAAAAAAGAATTTAAAAAAAACTTTAGATATCTTAATAATTTTAAATGTAATATACAACCTACAAGCGTATCAGGATGACTTTACTTTAAATTGTTATAATTAATTTTTTTTTCTTCTTAAAGGCAAAGAAGCTCAAATTTTTATAAATTTTCCAAAATGCTTTTTCTGGAAAATATAATACTGAAGTTATAAAAAATTGAAAATAAGCTTTTTGGCAGATTAGACTAGCAGTTCTCACCCCCCTTTTCAGCTATGGTAACTATGGAGCGGCATCAGAAATTGTTCTTGGCGTATGCCTGAGCTGATAATGAATAAAATAAACTGAATTGCAGTTCTCGAAAAAGAACTGTTATAACGCTGAGAATGGATATCATAGATACATAATGCTTTCATTTTAAATCAGGTAATTTTATTTTGAGTTGAAAATTTTGATGAAAAATACCAACGGATTTTCTATAAATGCATTTTTTTCCCAATTTATACAACACATAATAATTAAAGAAATATTTTTTTTAAATCTTACTATTTTAAATCTGCATTAAAAACACTGTGCATACCTCAGTACGATAGTTAAATCAATATCATGACTAAATCTCTCTATTGCAGCTGTTCCATCAGCTCTTACAGCATTCACTTTGTCTCGCAAAGCTTGATTAGATGCTATGATTGGATGGCGCTCCTTCAGTATATCCATAATATTTGGCTGACGTAGAAAAGCTACAACTTTATCATTGTATGCAGTTGGCACATGGGGGACAACATGAGGCACTGTCGTAGATGAACTTGTAGCAGGTCTTGGTGGAGGCACAGGACCTTGATTGGTTGTTGCAGTAGTGGTGGTGGTGGTTGTTGTAGAAGTAGTAGTTAATGGTTGTGGCTATAAAAATAATTTCATTACATTCAATATGAATTGAATATTTTTATTATATAAAAAATATTAGTTCATACAAACAAATTATATACATTGATACTTGAACTAATAACTAATGAACAGTATTTGCAACTAGATAAAAAAAAAAGGAAATAAATGTAACACTTTACCAAATAATTTCTTCAGTCAAATTACATAAATAAATTTAACTATCCACGTTATACTACTTTAGGTAAAATGACACAGTACATTTTATGCAGTACTGTTTCATGCTCTACTATAAACATATTAAGAGCTAGTTTTTGTTGCAATGAAAAATTTTTTTTCATAAATGTTTTTCTGTTTAAAAAAAAACTTACAGCTAAATTACAAAAAAAATTACCAATATAAGAAAATTGAAAAGTGAAGGAAATGTATTTTTTTCTCTTTTTTTAACTGTTATTGACAACCGAGTATAAAAACCGATTTTATTTACTTATTGCTTAATTTTTATTAATTTAATGTTTTACTTTGAATAATAATAGAGTATCAATTATAAATACCTTAACTCAACAATTGTTAAAAGTTACTTATGACAGACTTATATAAAATACATACTCTAGATATAGTGTCAGGCCTTATTTCTTCTTCTCCAGCACTTCTGCTCCTTCTTCTAGCAAGAGGCACAGGTAGTTTATTTGGATTTACAAATGGCGTATCAATTGGTAATCTTGGATCAATAAAAGTTGTACTACGAGTGGTGTGGTCGATGAAAAATTGCTGCAAAAATTATATTTTATTAATACCAGTTTTTTAATGGAGATAGTAACAAGCATTTTTAAAATTCATTTCAAGATTAATTGAGCTTATATTCAATAATTTTTTCATATGTATATATTAAAAAAATAAACAACTGTTAAAAAGAAAACTATTTCTATTACAACCCTTATATATAAAATTTTCAAATTCCCATTAGATAGCGAAATCTGTTATGAATCAATTATTAGAATTAATGAAACAATAATTGTCATTTGCTCATAAAGTTATGACTCAATACTCAAATTACTTTGGATACTTAGTCTCAAGCAAAAAACAAAAGACTACACAATTAAAGATAAGAAACAAAGACAAATGATAACTTTATGATAACTTAAGGCAACATCTCTTTCATGAAATATTAAGCTTTTGATTCAGCAAAAAATCAACTCAGAAATACATCAAAGTTGTTTTGAAGATCACTTCAGGCAAACTACATCTGATATACAGACATTCTAACAGGGATATGGTCACTCTAAATTATTCAAATGATGGAAACTTAATTTCAAAACAAAAATAGTGAGGTATGTCAAACCTTTAGAATCAACCAGTATTCACCAAAACTAAAAGACTGCTTATTAGGGTTTTTTCTCTATCTTAAATACTAGACTTAGATAACTAATGTTAACATCAAAAATAAAAATTTTATCACTATTCAAAAGTAAAATTATAACATTTATTATTATTATTTATTATGAAGCTTTAATCACAATTCGATTATTATGCCCTACATTTAATGGATTTACATTTTTTAAAGGGTGAAAACTATTTTGTCATATTATTAGTAATAAAAATAATAAGCTACTTACTTTTCCGCCTCTATCCAACTTAGTTTCCCAACCTCTAGGTAAATCTCGAGCTGTATCAGCAAATTTATTTAAAAGGCCCACCAAGTCTCGGTTATGTTGATATCTGAAATATACATCAAATACATCAGAAATATTATATCAAAAAACTTTTTTTAAACTTCTAACATAAAACACAAAGACTTATTCAATTTTAAAGTTATAAAAACCTTGACACTAAAATAAATTTAAGCTTTAAATAATTGGATAATAAATTTAAACATTCAAGTAAATTTAAACTTCAAAATATTTTGAGCTAAAATAAAAATAAAAAAAACCTTTAAATATCATGTAAAATCAAACAGTCATAAAATAAATTTGAATATTAAACCAATGCTTACGTCCAATTGTTCATATTCAATCTTGTAACAAAAGATAAAATATAATAAAATATTCCAGTCTAATATTGCAGTATGTACTGATAGTGCTGTGGTCAAAATATACAGTGAACTGCAAAAAAATTATATTAATAATTTATTGATTATGTTGTATATTTTATCTCAATTTACTACATCACAATACAGAGAAGAAATAAATGGTAGTAACGAGAGAAGAAGAAAAATGGTAGTAACGACAAAAGAAATATATCATATAAAAGAGAAATAAATATTTAAACAAAATAATATTCTTTTCTCACTTAGCCAAGTAAGAAAGCTATAATTTTTGTTTAAATTATGCAATTAAAAAGTCAATAGCAGAAATTTCTTATGAAAAATCCCTGTTTAATTTTATGCATTGCAACTGCATGATGTGAAATATGCAAAAATAAACATAAGTGAAATTTTAGAAGAAAAAAAAGGGCTTACCTGAAGTTTTTATGGAAATTAAAATAGAATGTTGTTTTCGAAACATATTAAAAAATACTGAAGAGATAAAATTATGAAAAATAATCTCTCTTTATTAATGAATTATTTACTTATTATTACTAATAAAGACTAACTTGCTTTTAGTATGTAATTTGCAGTTTCTTCACCATATTCAAACTCTGAAAAATGTCCCCTTCATAAAATTCTAATTTTCAAAAACAATCCAGTCACAAAATTTAAATTCGTAAAAACTGCCTCTTTGCAAAATTTCTTTTCGTAAAAATAAAAATAAATAATCGCTACACAGCAGATTCTTGGAAGAAAATTAGCAGAAACATGATTATACAACAGCGTCATCACGAATCGAACGTGTCTAAACTCAAAGTTTGTGGGTCATAATAGCATCCAGCGTCGTGAAGTTACTATGGCATTATCACGAATCAAACAAGTCAAAGTTTGTAACTCCAATTCGAGCGTTGCAATAACATTGAATTGAAAATATTAGAATTTCAAAAATAAAGTGAAAAGGGCCGAAAAAATTATTAATAACTCTAATACATTTGTAACATTTTTCTAAAGAAAATCATTTATCAATAATTTTTATAAATAAGTTAAATCATTATTGAAAAATAATCAAAACTTAGCTGTATTATTTGTATGGGGTATAGGGAATAAAATTTTAATAGAATGTCAGAAATCGATAACTTAAATTCGAACTGTGTAATAACATCCTATTAAGGATGTTGAATTTCGGAAAACCAATTCATGTGGAAAGGGTCTAATAAATATGTAACTGCCGAAAAAACTGTCATCAAATGATCTAAAATTATGATGGAAATTTCATAAGCCTAACGCTTCAAAAAGTTATAACTTCTAAGTTCATAATAACACCCTATTGAAAATATCAGAATTAGAAATATCACGTTACAGAAACCAAAAACAATAAGTAACTGCTGATAAGCTATCAACGGCTAAAATTATGACAGAATCATCACAAATCAAACACTTCAAAAAAGTGATAGCTCAAATTTGAAAATCGCAACTAAGTAATAAGTATATTTGAAATTTGACCAAAGAACGATTCAAAAAACAATTGAAAAAATATGAGAACCTACAAAAAATAAATTAATTAATAAATTAAATAAAAAATAGTGATTGCTAAAGCTAAAGGTTCTTAAGAAATTTTGAAGAAAAAAAAATAATTTCAAATTTTCACAAAATTTGACTCTAAAAATAAAACCTAAATCAACCCCAGGATAATACAATATTGCTTTATAATTTCCAAGTGTAACAGCAACCCCATCTTTCAAGAGAGTTTTTTTATAATTAGTTTAATTGAATTCATGTAACAAACCTTGGTGATAAAAGATAAAGAAAATTAACAAGAAAAATCATTAATAATTTTAAAGAGATTATAAAACATTATTTATCCCAATAAATTTCTTAATAAAAAATAAGAATAGACAATCTGAAGTCCATCCATCCTATCTTTCAGAGATTCTAGCAACTAAAAACCTTTTTTCAGTTGAAAGTTTTCTAAGTCAAAACCATGGTTTGATACAGTTTTGTGAAATTTAGCCCCACATCAAATAGATAAAAATGAAACTCTTGCGAAGGAAAAGTGTTCTATGGCTAATGTTAGCCCAAACATAGCATGTTTGGCACTCACGAAATCAAATTCCCTGACTTTTCCAGACAATGGTTCAAAAATGTGAAATTCCTTTACTTTTGAACAATTTCCAAATTTCCCGATTTTTCTAGGTAGCATAGCATTAGTATATATAATTGTAAATAATTTTGTATTTAGCATTTTATATATACTCAGTAGCATTAGTATATATAATGCTAAATACAGAAGATACTATTAGCTTCTCATGATAGATTGTCACACACACAAAAGGGTTAAATTTATCAAAATATGTTTATACAGAAAAAGTTGTAATTTTTGTTTTTTACTTTAAAAACTGAATAATAATGTTAATCAGCCAATGTTACCTTTCAAATCCAGTAGGGTCCCTTCTTATTTTAGTTATCATATGCTTCAAAGAAGAACTTCTGTTATATACAGCAAGTGCTTCCTGGAAAAAATTTTAAAAAAAGGAAGTTAAGTTATTTATTTCAATAAAAATATAACTTTTAGTAATAATTGGTAAAAAAATATTAAACTAAATAAATGCATGTTAATACATTTAGAAAAATATAAAATTTTGTTTTAAATTAAAAAAAAAAAAATTTTAAATTTAAAAAAATAAAAAATTTCAAAAAATATAAAAAGGAACTTGAAAACATAACTTTTAGCAATATTTTTAAAAAAATTATAAATAAATGCATGTTAATACATTAAAAAATATAAGATTTTGCTTCACATTTTCATTTTTTGTTTCAAAAAAAAAACTAAAACACCAAATGTTAAAAATACTTTAAAACAATGTTAATTCTTTAGAATACAATATAGAATTTTTTCTATACAGAACAGAAGGCTAATATTTTTGTTTCCTTCCAATTTCTAGAATAGGAAACAGTTAAACAAATAATGTATGTTACAATAAAACAAGCTAACACATTTTTCATACATTAAAAATTGTAAAATGACTTTAAATCAAGCCCTTTAATATTATTTTGGTACATATTAAAATTAGTCTCTAAAATTTTGAATTAGTTATTAAATAGCTTGGCTTAGCACAATTCATATCATCAAGAATAATAATTATTCTTTATAATAAATTATTTTTCAATTAGGCAATCAAGTTTATGTTTAATTGCAAAGTAAAATTTTGCGTTGATGACTTGCATGATAACATTTCTTTTCTTCTTTTTTTTGCAAAATTTTTTTTAAAATTCATACAATTTCTACAATACTTTTCTTAAATTAACTAACAAGAATAAAACACAAAAAATGGCATAGAAATAGAAACACTACAGTTTCAGTTTTATAAATGAGAACTTTCCTCAGTGTTGAGAAACTAAATGGCAGAAGAGGAAACATCACAATAATTAACAAGAAAATAAAAAGGATATAAGAGATAAGTGTAAGAACTTTAATCCCCATAAAATAATGATGTAGATGGGTTGGGGAATAGAGAAATGAAATAAGTAGAAAATAAATAATTCCTTTTCTGAAATTTAAATACTATAAAATTGCAAATTTTCTTTTGAAATTTGCTGGTTTAGTGACAATGAATAAAGTATAGAATTTGACTTTTTCCTCCGCCCAACCGCACAAAAATGAAATAAATTTTTTTTAACTCAAAAATTTCGATTTCAATAAAGTAAAAAAGTATGTATGTTTTAGATGAAGAAGTTAAAGCAGAATGAAACCAATTAGATTGTTTAATGAAGGGGGAAAAAATAATCATAAGAAAGAAGAACCTGTACACGATTAGTCTCTAAGAATAAAATCCTTTCATTTCAAGGAATGAAAAAAGATAAGAGTAATCATTTAAGGGGGCATTTCATAAACATTTTAATTCAGCAAACTGGATGATTCCTTTAGAGAAGTCAAATCGGAAGCAAAACAATCTTATAAAATAAAAATATTACAAAGCAAAAAAAATAATAATAATAAAAAGTTTCAGACAGTTTAAGACTTTTTCTTTGTCACCATGTTTAATAACTTGGCACCAATCCAATCATTTTTCACCTTTTGTTAGACTAAAAATATTTTATATGGTGTGTTAGATATTAAGCTATTGCCACATGGTATAAAACAATACTCGTTGTAAGTGCTTTTAATTATTTTTGAGAAGTCATTAATATCCTACTAGGTGCGGAACAAGTTTTCAATGTATCTGAAGGTGATGGGGGTCTTATTAGACCTATATTGTGACATTAACAGCAGAGATCGGTAAACTGTGCTTTAGGAGGCATCGGTAAACTGTGTTAGGATTTTAAATATTAATTACAAAATTACTAGCAAACCCATTGAACTGAAATTGGTGCCTAACGTCATAAAATGGGATGAAGCTTTGTTTAAAAAAATAAAATAAAAATACCATCCAGGTTCCTCATTGTCAAGGTTCATATCAAGCAACCTGAATTAAACCAGGCTAATTAGACAATTAATCAGGCTCATTGAAAAATGTAGCTGACTCTGAAATCCCTGAAGTTTCCAGACTGCGGTATCAAATACCTATGATTTTCGTAACTGGTGGTATCAATTTTATAATTAATTTTTAAAACATGTCTTATTCCAATGCAAAAAATATATCACAAAAAACCTATATTTGTTTTAAAAGTTAAAAATAATGAAATTTTTTCACAAATTTAAAGATTTTTTTTCATAAGAATATTGGAGTTATAGACATTTTGATTTTAAATTCAAATTACTTCATATTCAAATGAGTGTTGAGTATTTAAATTAAATTTCCAGATTGATAAAATTCCCTGTTTATTCAGTTACCACCCTCAAAATAACAGATGTTTTTTGCAAAGAACCTAAGATATATAAAAGTTTAAATCATTTAAAACCAATAAAAATTTTAAATTATACATTGCAATGCAAGATTTAAAACAGAAATTAAATTTACATCATTCATATGAAGAACATTTAAGAAGTCTGGACGTGTCAAAAAACGGACAGCGGGTGAACGCATAATCAAAACCCTTTGATTTTCTGGGCTGGATGAGGAAGGCACTGTTGTTGTTGAAGAAGAGGCAGGAGTTGTATTTGCTGCGGTATCCTCATGGGGACGTGATGTTATTGTCCTACGAATACTCTGATACCTGGAAGCAAAGAAAATTAAGTTAACCAATAAAAATTTATTAGCCCTTACACAAAAAATTTTTTAAAAAATAAAATACATGGATTTATTACATTTTTTGGAAAAAAATTATAAAATACTTGATTTTATTATAGAATAATATTACAGAGTGGCTATAAGCACTGAGAAAAATACTTGATTTTTATTATACAGGGATGAGAGTAGTCAGAAAGCAAAAAAGAGGAAATCCAAGAAAGAATATATGTATACAAAAATTTAAAAAAAAAGAAAAGTGAGATTTTTAAACTTGTAAACCATGTGATTATAAATCCCGATGATTAATTTTTTTAAATTGTATAAATACATGAATATGAATCACATGCATTTAAATTGAGAGAATATGAATCTCAATATGAAGTTTTTAAATCACATGAATTTTAATCTCTATATCGAATTTAAAAAATGCAAAAATACAAATCGCGATGCGTAATTTTTAGATCACGCAAATCCGAATCACGATGTATAATTTTTAAATCAAGCGAATACGAATCGATATGTATAATTTTTAAAGCACGTATAAATACAAAAATCAATGTTTGATATTACAACCGCAAAAGCGAATCACAACATTGGATTTTAAGCTTGCGTGAATCGCTACATAGGGTTTTAAAAGCGAGTAAATTCAAATCGCGATATTGAATTTTTAAATCTCGTAAATAACAATCGCAGCATTCGCAAGAAAGTCTAAAGAAAATCGATGATTGATAATAAAAATGTGATTTTAAAAATGCATAAATACGAAACGCGATTTTGGATTTTTAAATATCGTAAATACGAATCATAATGTACAATATTTAAATAGCATAAATAAGAATCACAATGCGCAACATTTAAGTCATGTAAATACGAAAATTGATGATTGATATTAAAATCGTGTGCATATGAATCGAGATATTTGCAGAGTCTGGGATTTCTAAAAGGCTTGTTTGTATTGTTTTTGCACAATCAATTAATCTAGTAAATAAAAATTTACTAGATTAATTGATTGAGCAAATAAATATTTGCACCACAAATCACCAAAATGTTTTTTTTTTTTGTTTTTTTTTTGTTTGCTTTCACACCAGAAAACAGGAAGCAGTGACGTCTGAGTTACGAAAATACGAGCTATCCGACGGACAGATGAAAACATGGAAAATCTTATTTTCTGTGCGTAAAATCGGAGAAAATAGCTAAAATAAGTAAAAATGCGGAAGGGTTAGCAGCTAGGACGTAGTTTGAATTTTCTGTTTATCTTTGAAAATCGTAAATAAATATAATTATTTTACTTCAATGACTGAATTTAAAAAAAACGGGATATTTATTTAAAAAAACGAAACTTTTAGAGAATCGGAGTTTTTGATAAAAAGGCTGAAATTCGAGAGACAAAAAAAATCTCATCCCTGTATAAAGGTCAACCAGTTTTATCCCAAGAAAATGATTTTTAGAGAAACTTCAGAGGGAGAAATGAGGACTTCAATACTTTCGCTCTGCAGAAAATTAAATTACTCATAAAATATTTTAATTTGTGCAAAAACATTTTCCGCGGGAATTAGAGGGAAAAATGGAAAAATCTGTGGAAAAAAAGCGGAAATCCACGGAAGAATCGCATCCCTGATTATAGAATAATATTACACAGTGACTCAAAACACTCAGAAAAAAAAATTATTTGACTTTAACATCGCAAATATCAATATTTAACAAAAGAGGTATTTATCAAAAACTTGAATAATAAAACTTTTTAAAATTGGTATTTTCACAACAAAAACTTTTTATTTACTTTAACAGAAATTGCTATATTTCTATTTTTTTTTTCCTCCTCTAATACTGTTAACAATATATATAGTGAAATTTGATATTTTTTTTAATGATTATACACATTTTCTCAAAACAAAAATAAGCAAAAACCTTTGTTAAATTTATGTAAACTACATCAAATGAAAAATTTTCATTCTAAGGAGCCTTGATGTGTAGCATAGTATGAAACCAAGTTTTACAAACCTGCGATCAAGTTGCTGACGTTGTAATTCACTAGCTGTTCCAAGTGTCAATTGCTGTGAAGTGGATGTAGTTGGTTTCGCCCATGTAGTAGTGCGATTTAAATGATCAATGTAAAAAATACGACCATGGCTATCTACACGAGCTTCCCAATCTATAAAATTAAAATAAAGAGGAAAATATTACTCAATAGTGTATTTTTTTAAAAATAATAAATAATTTTAAACTTAAGTTTCTGTAAATTATCAAATCGATGTACATTTAAAAAAGTAGTAATATAACTGCATACCTGCCAACTTGCACGGCTGTGGAGAAAAAATTTTCTTAGTGATAGCAACATTAGCCTTTTGGTGTATTAAACCTTGAAATTTAAAGTTTCAAAAAAAGCTTTTAAACTACCACAACGAATAAATAATTTTAAAAAAATATGCAGATAAGATCTGTTTGTTGTCTTATAATGCAATAGATGTCTAAATAGTTTAGTTTTTAGAAAATTCTTCTAAACTTAATTGTTGTTTTTTTAACACTTAGCGAAATTTTTTCAGCAACTGTACAAGTTGCCAGGCATGTAATTGTTTCTTTTTGGCAAATTATTATTTCTAGAATATAATTTCTGCATGCTTCTTTCCAGTTATGCAAGTAAGTAATAATATTTATAATATAGTTTTTTTTAAACAAACCCTATTATTGAGAATTTTTACTGTAAAAAAGACAGTGTACTATTTTGCACTTCGAATAATTTGACCTGAAACTGGAATGGTCCACCAGAAAATCAATGTCTTTCTCTTTGTTAAATTGCTGTGGACTTCCTAGTTATACTGGATGATCTCTTTTATATCATCCGTTTATTAAATCACGATTTAATTCACGTTTTAAATCACTAATTTAAGTCAGTTGACTTTTTAAAAAATTAATCATTTAAATTAAATTCTTTCCTTTAAAAAATTTATATAAAATTTTATAATTAGATAGTTTAAATTTTTTATTTAGTTGTATACATATCGATTATATCAGGGGTTTCCAACTTACATGAGGCCGGGGGCCACAATTCAAAACACAAATCAAATGGCTGGCCGTAACTTTATCAAAATTTTATGTAGGTCCCTTTTATGTTTGAAGGAACATTAAATATTACTGTCAGATTTTTACCAAGTTGTACAAAACACAAGTATTGAATTACAAATTAAAATAAGTAGATTTTTAAGAATGTTTAATTGCATATTAAAAAATGCGGGCTACAATAACTTTAATGTGCACCCATGTATTAAACAATTAATGTGCAATAGATATCTAATTGTTAAGATATAAAACTTTAAAAAGGTTGGTATTAAAACTTACATAGTTGCACACAAAATGTTCAATGACAAAATTGAGGTTTGTCTGCTGCAACCACCAGAAAATAGATATTTACATTTTAAATTTACAAATGTGAGTTTAAATATTTTCGTCCAAAATGAGTGGTTTCAAAAAGTTAAATCGGAGAATTTCTTCGAGAAAATTTCTGATACACACATGCAAAATTATATTCACAAAATACAAAAAAAATGAAATAAAAAATAGCAGCGTACACGATTATTGTTTTATTTGAAAAAATATTTTCTTTTATGTAAAATCTGAGAAAATTTTTTTTTTTGCACCGTTGGTATGATAAATTTCACAGAAGCGAAGAAATTAGGTTTTTAGTAACGAGAAAAGTATTTTAGACCCATGCAGATTTTTTATGAAAATTGTCCGCAAAGAAATGACAACTAATATATTTTAGTTCGCGGGCCACAAAAAAAGGCTTCGCGGGCCGGATGCGGCCCCCGGGCCGCCAGTTGGAAACCACTGGATTATATATATATTGATTTAGTTAAAATTTATCTCATCTTTTCTTTTAATGCATGTTTATTTTTGAAATAAATCCCTAAGTTATTTTGTAAAATTATTTGCTAAAATACAGTTTAAAAAAGTGTCTGCTGAATTAACAATTTATCCTGTCAACTTAAAAATTAAGGAAAAAGAATTTTAAAAAATTTTAATTTGTTTATTTTACCTTTTTTAGGATTATTGTCCACTCACGATATAAAAACCTTATGTTATAAAATTCATTTTCACCAGAGCCCTGAAGGTCGTTACATCGAATATCAACTGTATAAAAAACTGTATTTAAATCTCTTTCAAAGAAAAGATTCTATTGTACTCACGAGGGGGCAGTGGTTCCTCAAGATCAACCCTCTGGTATCTAATTGTTCTTTCAGGAATAGAAGGCAAACGAGTGGTAGGAAGATGTTGCAAGGTAGCAACCTGCAATGAATCTCTGCCAGCAGAGAAGCTCAAGGACCTCGTTGCCATATTGCTAAAATTAAAACAAAAAATTTTTCATATATTAAAAATTTATAAAAAAATTGGATATTCTCTTTTTATACTAGAATATTTATAATTTATTTAACTTGAAAAGTTTCAAACATTTTATGTAAAAGAAAGTTTTAATAACATTAACATATTCAAAAAATATTTAACGTAATTTTCTGAATGTATGCTCCGAGGCAGAATTTTTTTCGGCTTTCTGTGACGAATTTCCCAAGGAGTAATATCTTTTTGCAAGACACTTTCAATTATAATAATTACTAATTTAAAGTAACAAAAGCATTCACAAAAGGTAAAAAAAAAATAAAAAATAGAATAAAAATTTATAAAACTTTTTTCAACTGTAATTGTAGTATTTTTTATTCTAATATTATGGGCGATATTCTTGCATTTTGTAGTCTAAAAAATGCATTTGTTATTTCCTTTTCCGAATTTTGTAAAACTTCATTACATGCAACAAAAAAATAATTGAAAACCCTAAAATCCATCACAGTAACAACTGAAATCGGGCATTTTAAAAAGAATTACCCCAATGCATACTTAAGAAAAGAGAACTGAAGAGGTTCTGCAGAAAAGAGAACCAAATTTTTTTATTTCCCAACTGAAAAATCTTTCTACGAGAACTCTGTATCGTTTAGCAACTATGTCACTGTAATTCTGCCACAAGGTAACACACGCTTGATGACATTTGTTTTATTATTGTGACTATTTTTTATTATGTGTTTTATTATCAAGCAAGGTTGGACACTTCATATTTTTGATTTAGTTGAAATTTTATAGATCTGTTCTTCATATAAAACTATTGGACAAATATTTCTATTACTTTTGCACAAAATAAATAAATAAATATTCTTAGGGTTCTTGGGGTCAAAACAGAAGATGCTCTAGAATTTTGAGAAAAATACATTGATTTCATGTGATAATACTTTTGTGAAATCAGCAAACCACAGTATGAACTATTATCTTGTATTCTCCTATCCCACACTAACTATTAAGAAAAATATTTGCAGAGCTTAGCACTTAAAAAACTATTTTATTAGCACTTAATAAAGCTACTTAGAAAGCTATTAACTTAGCACTCAATAAAGTTATTCAGAAAGATATTAACTTATCACTTAATAAAGTTTTTTTTTTTTTTGATTTAGACTGTTAAAATCAAACTCATGGCAGCAGTGAACCACAAAGTAACAGATTTCTGTATTACAGCATGCCAATGAGTACTCCTAAAAAACATCAATATATGTGTGGTGTAGCTATATTAATGTGACCTTAAAGTAATAAGAAACTGAAATATTGCATAACTTTCAACAATATTAACTGCCTTTACCAGAACTAGATTGTATAAAACTTGCTGGAAAAGAAGCCTTAAGTATTGCAGAAACAAAACCAATTCACAGATTTATGGTTACTGATTAAGCTTTTAAATAAAATAAATGGCCCAAAGCTTTGAGGTCCTTAGTTGAATAATTGAATGCAGAAATAGTTATGCGAAAACTCTTAATTGCTTTAAAAAATGTGACGTAGGCCCAATATGAACATCTAAGTTAATACCCTTGGAATCAAATGTGATTTCATTAGATTTAAATTTGATCTTTATTTCTCTATCTAGAATTTAGTGAGGGGGTTGGCAAAACATACTCGTTGCTATCTAGCTAAGTGATGTATTTGTGTATATATATTGTATTGCTAACTCTTTTCAGATTCTTAAGTCCTTTCTCAAATTTAATCAAAAAGGCTTTTCTCTAGAACAAAAAATATCTATTTATCAAATGAGAAATAAAGAGCTAAAAAATAGGAATTAAAAGCTTAGTCAATATGTATATTGTATAATCCTAACAAAGAAGTGGTAGAACACTTAGCAAAAAATTCATACAAAGAATTAAAAGAAATTAGGAATTATATTTCCCAAGTACATTTTAAAAGATAATTACAACTCTTCATATAACTATGAACTTTTAAAAAGTAAAACATATATCAATATGCTTATACTTAAATGAGAAATAAAGTAAAAATATAAATAAATAATTTTTTATGAGGTCTTATTCAAATCCTCATCATTAAAATCATTGTAAATTTGATTAGTTACACATTAATATCACCACATATTACACGTAAGAAAGAACTTACCCTAAAGAATTGCGTCTTTGAACCCATAATTCTGAATCAGGTCTGATATAGGCCAAATGGTTTGTCATATTTAAGCGAGAAGACACAGTGCTGTCTCGTTCCTCAGAAGAAGGAGATGTCCTCAATGGTGATGGACCATCATCTGATGTTTCATCTGTTGGACTCACTGGACTAAGATCATCACTAGCAGGACTGACGATCAAGCCAGGGGATACTGGTGTCTGAACACTGTCTGGTGTTGATAACAAACTTAGAGAACTGGTACTACAATGCATGCCAGTCCTAGAGATCGAAGGCATGTCTGGGGTCGTAGCACAACTCGGCAAGGACGGTTCTTGTGCAATAGCATCAGGATAAGCAAGCACATTTTCACCATCACCAGAATCGGAATCCGATCCATAGGAACCGTTTCTATGACCACTACATCCACCGCCCGGCGGCTCTTCATTTTCACTGGCACTAAGAGTTTGGGATGAGGGGCTGCTGCACGGCGGAGTAGCAATGCCAGGCACACACACACTATAACTTCCCGGTATTTCATCATTGTCTAGGTTTAAATCACCAAAATCTGAGCTCATATGATCCATTGAACTTGCCACACGTGCCAAGTCACTTGCTTCACTTAAACTGAGGTAAGTCTCATGGTCCAAATCTGAAGAACTATATACATCCATGCTAGGTTCCAATTCTGAATAATTTAAAATAGGTGTATCGCCACATTCAAAATTTACAGCTTCATTTATATTTTCTAAAGATGGACCACCTTCATGGATGGAGTCATGCTCAGGAGTTGCTAAGGGAGCTGTTCGTTGGTTAAGCGGATGTTCATTACGTGCTTGGGTTTGATTAATATAATGACCATCACTAAAGGCATCTGACCCAATTGGATGAACTGCTAAGGCCATAGGCCGAGATGCACCACTAGAAGTTCTTTGAGGCAAAGCTGGAGGTGGAGGACTAGAATCTCTTATAAGAGGCACTGATGCAGATGAAGTTAAAGTGGTACCAGTCTCAGTATTTTCAAGACATGGTGTGGCATCATCATCAGTACCATCATTCTGTTCATCAGTATCGACAATTTCTAAAAGGAAGCTATCTTCAGGTTTTGTATGTTTATGTTTCTGAGAAGACATATGACTAGAATCTAAACCCTCAGTTCTAGCAACAGATGACCCCTCTTGTGATGACGGTCCAGGCCCAAGTAAATGGGCTTTAGATCGTTCAAGGGGTCGATGACTTTTAGAAGATTTTTGTTTGGGAGGAAGTGGCGGAGGAATATCCATTTCTTTAACAGGGGTAGGATTAGGAGATGAATCAATACTGTTGGTAGTGTCTGCTGCAGGTTGAAGCACGTATTCCATATTAGTAAAGGCCACAGAGGAAGAGCCACCGCTACAAACACTGTTATTACTAGTGGTAAATGTTGTTGGTATAGATGGCACAGAGAGACGAGAAACTGATACTTGAGATGCTCTTCGAACTGGAGGAGCAGCTGCAATGCTGTTAATGTTTTGATCTGAACCAGATCTAATATTTCTAGGTTGACTGTCTCTTCTAATTGGCTCAGCACGTGATGAACCACTCACTGAATGACTTGAACCATTTCCTGATAAATTACCATTTTGCATTTGAGCTGAACGACTAGAGAGTACAATATGTTGAGGTGTATTAGGGACGGATGACCCAGTTATTTGTGAATCTGAGAGATCAGTTGCATAGATAGGATTATGAACCTGTCGAATATGTGTAAAAGGATCAACTGAAATAAAAAAAGAAATTTCAGTCAACATTACATTTCACACAGCAGAAACCATAATTGAAATATTTCAAGCCACAAAAAGCTAATAGAATTTAGATTAATAAAAAATTTTATTGAAAAAAATTACATATCAGTAATAAGATACCTGGACCACTTTCTAAAGTGAAAGTGAAAGAAAACTGTCCAGTCACGTGGTCTGATGGATTTTTATTGCACAAATTAAAGTTGAATTCAACTGGAGATCTGCCATATGAAAAAAAATAGAGAAAATATTAAGTAGGCAAAATATATTTCAAGACATATTTAATAACTTGGTTAGGGATAAAACTTACCCAGTGCACTGATCAAGAAGAAGGCAAATTTGAATAGAAAATTTTCCTAGAAAACGACTAATGATTGGTCGACTTTTAGCAAATTTATCTTTTACTTCGAACTCAAGGATGTCGGAGGGATAGGCAATAAATTCAAACTAAAAAAGATACCATTATAAGAATTTTATTAAATTTAATAATTTTAATCAATCTCAATTAAAAGTAGTTACGTAGTAGTTGGCATACATATATCTGTTTTCTTATCTATGTACATATAAAAGAAATATAATATACTAACAGCAGTCATAGCACTAGAGTCAAATATCTTTTGTACGAAAAGATCTCTTAAATGATATTGTTAAAAAAACAAATAACATCATTAAAAAACAAAAGTATGACAAAAGTCCTGCCGAAAAATAAATTGAAATTTAAGAAAAAAAATCTTCTAATAATTGCACAATTTTTTTTTTAAACATTATATAAAAAATGGGTGAATTCTCATGAAAACAGTCATTTTCAGTTCATAAAATCCAAAAAAAGTAAAGTGGATGAAAAGTTTTGAAATTTTTTATATTTATAGATGTATGGAATGGCATAATAAGAAATATATATATCCCTTAAATTATATTTAATATTCAAACAAATTAATTTTACAATTTAAAAAATGAGCGAATGGCAATAATTGTGGGGGGAATGTTTTATTTGTATATGTTTTTTTTTTAACTTCAAAAATTACACCTATCTCTAGTTTGAAAGTATATTTAACATACTAAGCATATTTAATGTATATTATAATTTAGTTTTATAATTACAAGAGTTTTTTACAGGTACGAGAAATAGAATTGGCTGGCACGATTGTCACATAGAATGGGTGGTAGAATTCTTTTTTTGATGTCTGTGTGTAGTTATGTATGTCTTTTGGAAATAGCCATTTGTATTTTCCTACACTTCTTGGAACCATTACATCAATGGTTAAATTTTTTGAATGAAAGATCTTTACTTCTCCGGGGTATAAAATTGTTTCATACTCAACTGGCACCCAATCTCCTATTTTGAACTCCTCTGTATTTTGGTTTTTGTTTGAAGATAATGGAACAGTGATTTTCAACTCATACTTACATGCAGTTCCCAAATTATAATATTCACACAAAATTGATGCATCACATGCAAAACATGAGAGGGCACAAAAATTCAATATATTATTTCTTGAACTGTATACAACTTGATGAACATTCATAGTGACTGAGAATGAATTTATTTCTCCCTAGATTAATTTATCAAATATTTTTTTTCCTTATATCTTCATTTGCAACGTCAAATAAAGTTACTAAACAATTTTTTCTTAATACAGAAACAAGTGTCTTATAATTATGCAAATCTTTTCCTTTTGTCACTTTTTGATCTGCAGTTTCTTTCATAACAGCCCCAATTCTGTCGGGAGCTCCTTTTTCATGTCCGGATTCACTCTGGCTCCAAGTAAAGTTTAGAATACCAGGAGTAAGCTGTTTTATATGTTGATATCAAATGAAAGATTTTTTGTTAATATATTGAGCTGGTGGCCTTAAGATCACTTAGCATATGAACATATTTTACTTCATTTGTACTCAAAAACAACTTCGACATTTAATTAAAATTCATCAAAGGATAAAATAATATTCTAAGTTCTCCTCATTTTATACATTAGCGTGGGAATGACAAATTTAATAAAATTTACAAATAACAGGCTTAATTGATTTCTGAAATCAATCACATACTATAATATTCATACAAGAAAGCAACTTATAAGACATGAGGGAATGATAAATGTAAAAAAAAAAATTTTACCTTGTCTGATGCATTCAAATTTATTCCACAGCAAAGATTCTGTAAGTTGAAGATGAAAACATACTGCAATTTTGTTCTATGATGCCAGTTGTAAACAACTAAAGTTTTCATTAAAATATTTTTATTCTGTTGAGATTGTGGGTGGTAAATACATTGTTGTGAGGGAGTTGCAAAACGCTAGAGATAAAGTTTACAATAGCGCTGTGGTAAGATTTTTTATCAGAAATTAAATTTAAAATTGATTTTCTGAATTCTATATTTCAATATTCTAAAATATAAAATACAAATTTGCAAACTTTTTCCTTTTATTTTAGAAACAAATTTTTTCTTTTTTTTTAAATCGACAGTTGGGATAAGTGAGGGAATGATATATTGATAATTTTATTTTTAGTTTTAGTCAACCAGAGTTCTGTAAGACACTTTGCCATAAAAAAAATTCACAAGTCTTAAAACAAGCATAAAATATACTGGGGGCATGAAAATGACTGTTTTAGTGAGAATATATATATCAATATACATAATTGATATTTCTAGTTTTTTGTAACCAATGGCAGGATATTAAATAATTTTTTTCAGTCCCGTCTTATTCATTCTATTCATTACAAAGTATATTACAAAAAAATTTTAATTTTTAATTTAAGTTTAAACTATTTAAAAAAAATTTTTATTAAAAGAATAAACTAAACAAGCATATTATGTGATAGAAGTAAATGTAGATATCAGTTAAGAAATAATAAATCATATTTTGTTGTGCATTGCATTTATTTTCTTTTTCCGTTATTAATTGTAAATTATTAAAAGTAAAAGTAAGAGAAACTGATTGTTTTTATAAATATAATAAGAACCACATAGTGCTTAAGGCACTGTGATGCAATATTGAAGAACTTAGGTTGGGTCCTTGGTTGTGGCTTCAAATAGTACTCAGCTTCAAATTGTTGGGTACTAACTAGTCTGGGACGTAAACCCAGTCTTCATAAAACTTGTACTCAAATTAAGATGGCAAAAGTAATCTTTTAAGAACTTTCAATCATGACACTTTTACAACAATAGAAAAAGTATGCAAAAAAAAACTTGTCACAAACATTTTTAAATTTCAAAATTAAAATACTGAGAAAATAAGGATTATAAGTAATAAGCAATTTAATTTTCAAAAAATATATGCATCAACACGCATTAAAAACTGAAGTTTTATAAACAGATCTACTAAATCTTCAACTTAATTTTTACATTGGAACAATAATCTATATCTAAATAATCTTTAAAACAGACAGAAAAAATAGTTGAAATCATTTCTTACTGAAAATTGCATGTTTAACTTATGTATTGTATTCACTATAGTAGCCAGTATGGTAGTCACAACCATTTAAATAATTATAAAAAAAGAAATATTTTTCAAATGAAACCCATGTAATTCATGGTAGAAAATAATGATATCAAATTTGACAATTTACAAAAGCCTTGATGAATCCTCAATTGAATACAAGAAATGGTTCATAGATTTTAAATGAATAAATTTAAGTTCACTTTAAAGAATAAATTGAAATTAGCATGTAAATGTGATTTAACTATCAAAACATAGTTGGACAACAATTTATATCTTAAACAATGTATATGGATATCATACTCCTTTTAGTTAAAATTAATAAAAAAAAGAGTTTTCTTTCTTACTTCTTAAAATATTATTTAATAAATTTTAAATCATGGAAAAAACATCAAAATACCTTTTGGATAATAAATTTTATAACAATAGATGCAACCTAAAATTTTTCTTACAGAATATGTGAATGCTGAGTTTTATTAAACTCTTACAGTACTGAAGAGCATTAAAATATGAAGGGAGAAAAAAAAATCACAAAAGCATTAGCAATAAAGAATTTTCTTTAAAAAATCAGTTATACCTGTCCAGGCCAACATGGCTGGGTTGTTGCTTCTGCAATGCCAGTTCGACAAACTTGTCCATGATGAGGTAATAAGAAGACACCTTCACCTTTACCAGGATGAATAGTTATTTTCACATATGGGTCAGGATTAAAAAACATCCCCTTTTTTAAGTTTTTAGCATAGAGATCTATTTCAAAAAAAATATTTTTATAACTAAGTGTGTTAGTAGTCAATGACATCAAAAAATACAATTTATACATTTTATTTGCGAATAAAAATCCTATTTACAGTGAGAGAAAGTAAAATTTATACTAAAAAAAAGGGGGAAGGAAAGAAATTTTAAATTTTAAACTATAATTACTCTAAACTAATATATCTTAAAAGCTTTATAATTAATTTGCATCTTTATAAAAACAAAGACATTCCTCACATCTATAAATAGTAAAAAAAAACTTACACCCTTATTCAACTGAAACGCACTCCCTTGATTTATACTGTTCATACTTTGTTAATTGCTATATTGTAGACTGTTTTTGCACTTCAAGTGTAACATTAGATCACTAACAAAGCAAAAAAACCTATATTTTTGGCAGGTCACATGAGCAATATTCTTTCTTAGCCAATGAAAAAATTCAGACGAGCTTCCTCAAGAATAGGTTGGGGAAATTTTATCATAGACATTGGTGCCTGTTATCATCTGAATATTACTTTAACTCCTCCTTACATATTCAAAGTACCATTAACATCATTTTAAAAAATGCTTCTTAAAATAGATTCAAATAGTTACTTTGATTTAGAATAATTCTTTTCAGCCATTTTGGATACAATGATGAGTTTTTATTTTAAGATTTCCTTTATTAAAAGTTTCAAGCTCTTACGATTTTATATTTCAAATTTTTATAAAATTACCTTCTAACAATCCCATTACAAGGTAATACTTTGTAATTTACTATCTTTTTATAATTAAAAAATATTTATGGAAAAAAAACACATATCTAACCAAATCAGAAAATATAGATCCGTATCAAGATAATTTAAGAACTGTAATGAGATCATATATTTGCAACTACCTTGTAAAAAATAACAATCAAATACTGTCAAATTATTTTTAGAAGTAATAAATAAAAAACTTGAGTTAAAAGCAACTACTGACTATCAAATCACAGCTTTGGATTTCAACCTCCAAGTAACTTTACAAGTGCTAATAAGTAATTCAGAACATTTTAGTTACATAAAATTGTCACGGAATGTTTGAAATATGTTACCAAACTTTTATACTGCTATCCTTCTTATTTCTCTCCAGAATTGCCATTAAACATTTAATAAATGCTTTGTGATTGGACAGAAACAAATAAAACTTAGCCATTGAAGTCAAGTTATGGTCCTGTCATGTGACTAAAACCGCTTGAAATGTTACAGTTAAATCAAGAAACAGATGTTTTGAATCAATAGAGCAGAAACTAGTAGATCGACCAAATTTTGTTTAAGCTGCAAAAGGGCATTAAAGGAAAAATTAATTTTAAAATACATACTGGATAAAGTAAACTTCACCATCTCTACAGGATATTGTTGAGAGGAATATCCCACCAACACTTCATCAGCCCCAAGGCTATTCTAAAAATTGCAGGAAAAAAAAACAGACTGTTACTATGCAATAAAAAAGAATTATTAATAAAGAAATAATACAGTACAGAACCTGTTATCCAGAAATCAGAAAACCGGAAAACCAAAAAACCGGAACGAAATTCAATAAATTTTCCTGTCATTTTTTTAAAAAAAAAATTTTTTTCCTCATAAGATTTTAGGATTTTTCTTTCTTTTTTGAAAGATGTTCACCTTACCATCATTTTGGAAATAATCATTAGTGTATTACTTCATCTTTTTTTCTTCTTTTTAAGATTTCAAAAAAAAAAAATTTTTTTTTTTAGTTGGGTTTAACAATAAAAAAACGGCTTTTTGTAGCGATTCAGAAAACCGGAAAAATCAGTTATCCGGAATAGCGATGGTGCTGATCGTTCCGGATAATCGGTTCCCTACTGTACTTAAGATTTTAACTAAAACACTAAAAAGGTACAGCGTAAAAATACTAACAAAATTACAATTTAGCATAAACTTACTTGAAGCCCACAGGAGGCCAGAAGCCTTCTAACAGCAACCAAGGGACTGACAGCTCGTAATATGCCGGAATTTCCATGATAATACTTAAAGCATACATTAGTTACATCTGTAATGATAAATAAGAGATAGGTCAGGAGGCAAAATATAAAATCATTGGTTTAATAACCAAAATATTTTAACAAATCAACATGTAAGCCTTAATGTTGAAAGCAAAATCATTTAGGGTGAATTGGATATGGAGTTTGAGGGCATAAATAAGGGATGGAATGAACACTGCTGCACAATGAATTCCAGGCAAGTTAATTAAAAGGTATGCAAATGGGACAAGAAAAAGAAAAAACTCTAGGGGCAAAAGACAACATGAGAAATGACAGTCAAAACTCAACAATAGAAACTTTAAAGGACTTATAATAAACTCTATAATATCAAACTTTATAATATTTTGAACATTTTAACCAAAGTAATAAAGGTGTAAGAATCTTCAAAAACAGAAAAACTATATCAAACAAACTTGATAAATAATATACATTGTTGTGAGGGAGTTGNTAAAACAATTTGCTCACATTTTAATGGGAAAACTGAGGCCGATCAGCCTGAATAAGAAGTTGGCGGGCAGCACAATATGTGTTGGGGGGCTGCCAGTTGGACAGCCCTGTTTTATAGCAAATCAAATTGTAAGATTTGAGTTAGAACTTTTTAAAAATTTACTAATTTCTTACATTTTTTTTGAGAACAAGAATGCACATATGCAGAGTTCTCCTTTCCTGTGCTTTGACATAATGAGATGTGATTAAGAGAGCACATTAGTATTAAATGTCTATCCTTCAATAACAAAATAAAAAGAAATAGTGCAAGTTACCTTAATTAATTTACAAGTTAATTAAGAGCCATACATTTTAAATCCCCCACTGCATTAGCAATTACCTTTTAACATAAACTGAAAAGTAATTTTGTGAATAATTGTTAGTAAAATAAAATTTTGACTTGTCTGAATATTGAAAATATATCTCATTGAACAAGCTTTATAAGTATATTTATGCATTGCAACTAAGCCTCCACTGCATAAGAAAAGATAAGATTTGCAGGGAAATAGAACCATAAAGTAAGAATAAATCATAACTTGCAGTGATATAAATTTTCGAAGGAGTAATACAAAAGGGATAAAGCAAAAAAATTGAAGTTGAAAATGAATAGAAATCACCAAAATAAACTTAATTCCTTGCAGTTCGATTTTTCCCCCTTCTATTATGTAGCAATTAAAAAAACAGTTTACAAAAGCATCAAAAATCTAACACTCACCACCTTAGAACGATTGGAAGACAATCATTTAGGGTCATTCCATGTTAACTTTTTAAATACAGTATAACCCTTAGAAATTCGGACTGTACGGTGTTGGGTGGTGAAAAAAACTATTCGGATTTTAGAAATTCTTATTTTCAAGATCATACCGTATTATGTTTATTCTTATTTCCCTTTATTCCTATTTATGTTTATTATAGGTATTTTTGAAATTTAAGAATCAATTTTACCACATGATTACAAGTCATAAAATAGTTTACCACATAATTACAAGTCAGAAACACAAAATCAGGCCCTAACTGTAACTGAAAAATGACCCAAAAAGTGTTCAACTGATTCTAATTTATTTGCAAATTATCTGCAAATTTCACTTATACTAAGTGAACTTTCATGCAACTCAAATCAGCAAGACATCAAAATAAATCACAGTATTTAATAAAATCACTGAAAAAACAAGTAAAATCTATACCTTCAGTAAAAGAATCACAATTTTCTATAGTCCATAAAATTTGGCCTTTTGAAGTAGACGTTGGCCATCTATTTTTACATTCAATATATCGAGATGGATCTGCTTCGTCTAGAAAAATTATTGAAAACTACTATAAGTCTACAATAATAAACTACTATAAGTAAAGTAAAAATACAGATAAACTTATGATTAAAAAGAAATTCAAAATATTACAATTCTGAGGTTTAAAATTCATATTTATAATTATTCTATGCTACTTATTCTTGTGATATTTCTTTTTTAGATGTATTTTAACAAAAACTGTAGTTCTGAATTATCAATTAGTTAGTCAATCTTCATGAACTCACAACTTTGTTGCCTTATATTGACAAGGGTTTTACCTACATTAAGTGCAAATGTTAGGGGAAAAAATTATGCGCAAACTGGCAGCTACCATTTTTTATCAATTTTATTATATATTAAGAAATTATATAATTAACTTTATCAAGTGCCATTTTAATAGAGTTGAAATGTTTCTACGTTGTTACTTATACACAAAATATCTTAACTTTTCTAAACCAGATTTATTCAAAATTTAAATTTCTACTTTATTTATTCTTAATCAGGTCAGCATTTTATAAACGGTTAAAGGAGTGGGGGGGATTAAAATTGTGCATGCAACAACTGCATTTTAATTTTAAAATCAAAAACAGCTATTTTGTTGGAGATGAAGTTGCTTTTTGTTTCAGCAAATATAAAATTTTACATCAATCCAAGTTAGTTTCACAATTTATTTTCATTGCATTGAAATTTTTACTTAATTAATCTATTAAAATTTAAATCAATAAAGCATTGGGTTCAAGTATTCCACTAAATACATTATAGTTATAGAATAAAAAAATTTTAATGAAAATTTGAAAACAAAAGCTATCTCAATTCTACAAAGCATTTAATTGAATATTGAATTAAAAAGTGAACTTGAAAATTAGAGTTATTGATATTTAAATCAATTAAGAAGCTTAGAGAAAGCATTTTTGTAAAATATGAGAAAATCAGCTTATGAATAGAACGAACAAGTTGTTAATTAATGATTTTACCAATTGAAAAACACTTCACTTGAAATCATGTAGTAGAATACATTAATGTTTGTTTGTTTTGTGTGTGTGTGTGACAGCTAAACATAACATTTTCTTAAAAATTAGGGTTCGTGAAGGAAAATTTCTTTTTTGGAATTCAGAAATTAGAGTTCATAATAAGTTGCCACAATAAAAAATAAAAAAATTCAGTCAAATCAAACAACATTTAGTTCTCCAGCTGTCTAAGCCAAATTTACTACTGTTTAACGGTACCTTCACAAATTCAACTAAGAAGAAACGGAAGTTTCACAAAATATTTTTTCTTAACATTTCATTTTTGTATCCCGTAAGAAATGATAAATCTATATTTTTGTGTTGATCTTTTAATATAATTTTTAATTTTCACAAATTATGCCTAAATTTTCACAAAATAGGTACCTCTCAGAAAAACCTACCCCTCTTCTCTGAAATGGGCTTAGTTTTATCTTTTAAAGGTCAAAAACGTAAATTTTAAATTCTTTTTCAAAGCATAAAACAAATTTCAGTATTCAAATTCAGGAATATGAAATAACAGTAAAAATAAAAATTAGATATAAAATGTAACTTAGAAATCTTTAATTTTCCTTCACAAACGCATATTTACAACTAAATCATTTTTAAAAAATTATGCTGATTATGATTTAAATAAAATTAAAAAAATTTCCCATAAATTCTGGCGGACCTAAATGTTAAATTTTGCATTTAATTTTCTTTTTTTGTTAATCTACATTTATTAACTTAAAAATTAAAATTATTAATAATAATAAACAATAATATAATTAATAATTTTAAAAAAAATTCTAAATCTATATTTTTGAGTAGGAGCAAAATTATGTTTACAAGTGCTCTATGAAATTAGTCAAAAATAATCAAACAACTCCTGCCAGTTTAAATATTACTGTTCCTTCTAATGCCGAATAATTTTGTCTTGCGAACTCAAATTACAAGTGTAAATACATAATCATATACATAATATACATAAAACAAAACTGCTAACAGTGTACAATTTTCTTCACGGCTTACACATAAATTGTCTCGAAGGAACTGTAATTGTTTAAAAATAGAATTTAAACTAGTGCCGAGTAACCTAAAAAATTTCACATTTGACCAAAATATTCAGAAATGAAAAGTTAACTTTTCATTGCCTTGATATCATAAATTTTGAAAAAAGTCTTTTATAATGTACCTTAATAAATTACGTGTATACAAATGTTTTTAGATGACATTCAATGCATTCTTTCAGAAAGCTATTTAGTCTAAACATCACACTCTTATAATTTAATTTTAATAATTTATAGTGTAATTTTTAAATTTATAAAAACATTTTTTTCTAGGTCACAAAAAAAATTATTTAAAAAAAATTAAAATAACCTTTAAAACACCAAGATATCTGACAATTTACTCTCAAATTGCACTGCAACATGTCATAACTTAACTACATTAAATCATTTATACCAATTAAACAAATAAAATTATAACTTCATAAATGTAAAGTAAAATATTTGTTAAATGTTAATTAAATTTTTAATACAACAGCCAGTAATAAAAAACTTATTCTTGGCCGTGAAACGAATATTTTATCAGAATTTGTTTAAAAACAGTCATTAACAAATCTAAATTGTTTTTATAATATTATTGCAGAAATCACATGGACAAGATACGATTATTATTGAATGTAATCAGGTAATCACATTCTATTTTTAGCAGTGGTTATTCATCATTAATATCATGAATGTAATTGCGTCAAGAAAAAACGACTTGGATGGTGAGGGGAACGGGTAAAGTATTTCTCAGGGAAGGATATACAGACATCACAGTGATTTTCCAGGTTGAGTGAGTGCCCTTAAGCAACCTGTAAAACATAAAAAGACAGCTTGCTTGTGTGAGGCAGCGTCATTGGTAATTGCTTCAGTAAACACTTGATCCCGCCAATTTGTTAGGTTGGAAATGCGCTTGGCACACATGTTGAAGGAAGACATTCAACTGTCGATTTGGTAAAATTTCGATCAATACTTCTGCTATGGCTTCTTAATATGCGAAAAAGTCAGAAAGAAAAGTCACGCTTCCTTAACCATAGGTATCCATGGAAGCAGTAGTGAAGATGACCATTTCTAAGTTTTCATAAGCTTTTATTTTACTTTCTCAAGAAAATCTTACCATCACCCCTTCACTATCCGCTGGCATGAAACTTCAAACCTTGTGGTGTCTTGCTCAATAGATGAAATAAATTTGAAATGTGGGCTTTAGAAAAAAAAACCCTAAGAATGCTTGAAAAACAAAATATTTTTTTAATATTACTTATTATATATATTCGTAATTTGATTTACTAGGTAGCTATATAAATTGCTAGGGTTAGTTGAAAGTCAATGAGAATGTTTGTTCCAGGGAATTTTTCCACTGTACATATCACTTTGAAAAAAAGTATACCTGTTTTATAAAGTCCGATCCAATCAGTAGCAGATATCTCTTCTTTAATGTCCCATTTAATGACTAGTGGATCAGATGAGTTCAATATGTATTCGGCTCTAGAAACGCTTAAACTAGAACGAGACTGCAAGCATGGAGGCCTGCGAAAAGGAGCAGGTGGTGGAGCAGAAATTGGAGAAGGCACACCAGTTGGAGAAGAAACTGTCCTCTGAGGTGGTGGTGGAGGTTCTTCTTCAGGATTTTCACCACCTGCTGTGATGGCAGGTGGGTGTCCCAGCCGCAGCACAGGGTGGAGGCCACTCGGACGCTCAGCTAGCATCGAAATGATGCCAGAGCAGAATGAGACTGGACTCCTGCTCGAGTTTCGAGCTGCACAGACCACCTAGCTTGAATTTCACATCTTTGAAATTTTAAACCTAAGAATTAAGTTAGTGTAATTAGAACTTTCTCCGGCAAAACTTACATATACAGTAATTGAAAAAATTTTTAACATTGTATGTTAATATTTAAAAATGAAAAAAATTTTTTTTATACTTTTCTGTTCGTTGTCAACCATTTTTGCCAAGTTTGAAAATATAACCTTAGAGCCTAAACTGGATTACCACATATTCCAATGTTGGTATTAGGCAAGCCTAGCCTACTCAGTTTGGTGAAGACGTTTATTAAACTTTTTTTTACCTTTGCTGAAAAAAAATTATTAAAAGTTGGGATTTTCTTACCACAACAAACAATGCAACAGCATATTTTCAAAATCATGGGATCATCCCATCGAAAAAAGAATTGCGTTAACGAACACGATGTTTCTTTCCATCAGAAAACAGCTTATATTTACAGCTTATTATTTTTTTATTATTTTGTATTTTGTCTGTGAAAATACATTCGGAAGAGATTCAAATTGAAATATCCTTGTTCCTATTTTGTATATTTCTTTAAAACCAATTACTGAAAATAAATATTACTCTGAAATTAAATTTGAAAGTCTCCAAAATGAATTTCACATTGAGTTGGCAAAAATAGTACATACTGAACACATACACATACATACTGAAATATTAGGCAGAATGATATAAATCTTACAACAATACAGAAATGGAAAAGCCAAAATACTAATTACAAACTCTGAGAGTTTAAGAAAGACTCTGGGCTTTTAAATACAGAGGATCTTCATAATGCAAACCTTGAAACCTGGGCCTTTGCATTTTATGAACATCGTGTTATATAGATCATTTCAGTTATCTATTAAATATGGCAAATTTAATATGGAACAGGTTAGTTTTAAAATACTTTCAAATAATTTTAAGATACAAATCCTTAAAACACAAAATGCACACTTAAGTATTTATTATTTACAGAAAAAAAATTAATTTTTTAACAGCATTAGAATATGTAAAAAACAAATCAATCAATTTTGTTTCGCTTAGCTTATGAAATTTAAACCTCTTAGTAGATAATTAAACAAATATAGTAAAAAGTTAACAGTTATTGCTAGTTATAGAAATTCCTGTATTCTAATTTTATTGTATACCTCCACAAAGCTAATGTGATTTAAGGAGATTTGGGGTTCAGAGAATTGTGTTACACAGATTTTCTACTATAATTGTGAAGACTACTTGTGTGCATAGTATGTGCAGGGCCTGATACAGGTGAAGTAGACTATCGTTTATATGTACTTTCAGAAAAATCAATCTAGCAAAAACGACACCTTCACAAAAATTATCACAGTAAATTCGGTATCTTAATAAAAATCTTTGCAGTAAAATTGGTACTTTCACAAAAATCGCAAATATCTTAGCAAAATCAACACCTTCTCAGAAGGAATAATAAAAAATAAACAGGATGTATACATTTTTATTAAATGGTTAACTTTTTTGCAGAAAATCTTAAACCAACCCCATAAGTTTAATAACTATACCCGAACTTATTGTTATTCACACGATTTTAAGATCAGATATCATAATTTGTCATCACGCATTTTAAAAAATCACCAGTTTTGATTCTTCTTGCAATTTAAAAATCACACATTTTGGTTCCTATGCACGCAATCTATCAGGACTCGTATTCATAAGGTTTAAAAATCACATGTCGCAATTTGTATAATCAAGCGATTTGAAAATTGAACATTCGGATTCTTCTTCAAACAATTAAAAAATCATACGTGATTTAAAAATCATGCATCACAAATCATATTCACACAATTTAAAAATTACATATTATTGAACATAGGAGCACTATCGGGGATGAATTCCCAAAACTGATGAAGTTATTTACCTTACTGCCCATATCAACTCATTCTGTGGAAAGACTGTTTTGCTGACAGAATTTGGTCTGTTTAAAATTGAGGAGTAATCTTTCAACAAAATCGTTATATTTTAGTTTAATGGCTCACACATTGCATCCAGTCAGATGATCCAGTTAGTAGATAAAATTGTCACTATGTTTAAAAATTAATTCAGTAAATTGCAGAATAATCATATAGAAACTCTTCTATCTGCGTGAACCAATTTACATTATTTATAATCATATGCTGATGAATTATAAAAAAATTTAAGTATTGTTATGTAAATGTAAGTATTGTAAAGTTTTTATTAATTGTAAATACATATAATTAGTGTTTATGCCAGTATCGCAACATGTTGGTAATGTCACCGACATTTTACAAAAGTCACTAAAATTGCATGGGAAACCAATTTGTAGCTTTGAAAAGCATTTGAAATTTAGAAAATAGTAATGAAAAATAGGATCAGACTTTTCAGTATTTCCATTTGAAAGGCAGCTTAAGTGGAAAAAAAAGAGTAGGCATTTGTTTGTAGATCATGTGAGATGAATTCCTATATTGTTAAAGGCTAAATATATTTCTTTAAATTAATTACTTTTTTTTTAGATTTAAAATTTTTCAAATTTAATAACAGGAGGCGTCTGTCAAATTTTTTTAAAAGTTAAATGTTAAAATTTCAAATTTACATGTTGCTATGTCTTGCATTCATGCACTGACTGTATAATGCATCAAAAAAATATCTTTGCTTCAGAATTAAAACTTTACAATTTTCAAACAATTTTTAATATTACATTTTGTTTGTGCTTACTTTCTGCTTTCCTTATTTGTTTATTTTAATTTCTCTATATTGAATCTATTTACTAATATTATTTTAGCTTTTTTAGTTCGTTTTAATAAATATTAATCTTCAAACATTATGAGGAAATGAACCTAAGTAGTTTTAGGGTNATTATGTGAAAATAATATATTGTTTCTCTATATGTCATAAATGAAAGAAAACAGTAGGTTTTTGACGGTTTTTACCGGTAAAAACACGATTTTTAACACTGTCACATCAAAAGCCAGTTTTTGACGGCAAAAACCCAACCCTGTTGTTTACCATATTAAATTTGTGGACTACTAAATGAAAACCTAGGTAGACCTATTAGCCCTTTAAATTTTCTTTGCTGGCATAAAATCTAATTATAATTCTGAATATTAAGTACTATGTTATATAAGTATTTTCATAAAGAGTTGTAAACAATTATCCTAATAATTTATTATTAATAACTTCAAAACTAATGAGTATTCCTTTTAAAGATACTTTCTCACAGAAAATTATATGCTAAAACTTTTCAAAAAATGGGTAGTATGAAATTAAAAAACCTGGATTAACCCCTGATATGGGAAGGTTCCACACCCATCAGTGCTACCTCAACATTATAACGAACAATAAATGTCAGAGTATCACTCTTACTCATTAATTAAGACATATTACAAATTAAGTTCTTAACCACTTGAAAAATAATTATTCTAACAACTTATACAATATAACAAAGAAAAATAATAATAATTAAGTAACATAGTCATAATACATTAAACATTACAATATACATAGACATTAAACATTTGAAAATCCCTTTGAAATTATTAATTAGTTACTGAAGTTTATAATGTAATCAAATTAAGCAATAATTGCATCTAGATTTAAATGTGTTTGGATTGATATTAAAAACAATGAAATTTAAATAGCATATTTCTCAATATATCAATTCTTGAAAAAAGTAATAAAGTAGTACTATTTAAAATTACAAAGTTTCTCCTAAATATCAAAATGCCACAGACTTTTGAGCAACAAAACAAATATATGTTTTGATAAATATATATTATTGTTTGAAATTTCAGATTCCGAGAATTGAATCTAGATATAAACAGTTTTTAATAGATATTAAAAACATTCTTAAACAAAAATTTCATAGTTTACAAATGTGTTATCAAATATTGAAAAATAAATAAAAAAAATAGATAATTTGTATAAAAAATAATCACAAATTGTTCCAAAATAGCATATATCAGACATTTTTAAGCAACGTATCAATTATAACGTGTTTTTATAAATATTTAACATTTATGAAAAGTAAAGATTCCCAGATTCATTATCTTTATTTGGTATAAAGTTATTCCCTTATCACACATCACACTTAAATTGCATCTAGATTCAAACATTTTTTAATCGATATTAAAAACACTTAATCGAAAATTGCATATTTTATATATATATGTATCAAATATGAGAAAAAATACGAAGTTTTGTTTAAAAAATATCACAAATCGTTCCCAAATATCAAATGTCACACATTCTCGAGCAACAAAACAAAGATGGTTTTTACAACTAAATAAAACACCCTTCGAAAATACAGGTCATCAAAATCATTAAAATAATCCTTTTATGGTATTAATAATACAGCAACAAAATAAATTAACAAAACATTAGGTTAAATAAGGTAATAAATTTAAAGCATGGCCTATACCGGAAGAGATATTTAAGAGCTCTAAAAATACAGCTAACTTATTTTTTTTATTCTAAAATTACAGAAAACAGATGCAAATGAAATATATACAGATATATTTCAGGAATATATTGATGGTTTAGAATATTTATTAATATAATATTATGTTGACTTTAAGTGCTTACTTCACAAATCCTCCATCTTGTCTCCGGTCAACCATCACAACATAGTGATTACAAGGAAAATTTAATTGTCAAGTAAGTAATCTTTTATGGTTAACGCATTGTCAGTTTTTTTTAAAACCAATTCCGGAAATTAAATACAAGAAAAGCTAAATAATTACATCAAATTTAATCCATACAAAATGACGCGTTTATGTACGTATTTACAAATGCCAGATACAGACACTACAGTGAAACTTTCAGTTCCTGTTTTGCTGAAAGATTTGTTTAATTCAAAAAAGTTACATTCGAGCCAACAAGACTGAAGCAAAAGTCAAGCACCTGCGTAAACTTGTCGCCGCTTGAGTAGCGCTATCTAGTGAGAACATTGGTTCCATGTCAAAAGCCTATCGTTGGAATTCTTTAAAATATAATTTAAAATTTAATAAGTAATTAAAATATAATTTAAACTTTAATAAGTAATTAAAGTATAATTTATTATTTACGTTTTTTTTATTTTTGCATTTATTTTTTTTTATTTTTGCATTTTTTTAGTTCTATTATGCTTTTGAACTCAAAATCTTTAGATTGATTTCGAAATCAAGATAAAAAAATCATTGTATTTCCTATAGAGCTTCCCAAATTAATTGTGCACCACGGACACCTCATATTAAGGTTCACCAACCTTAACTATTAAGGATTTAGACAAACTTTAGAAGAAAAAAAATTTCAAACATAATACTTTGTGAAATTAATAAATAAAACTAGACAGGGTAGATGAAAAATTTTCGCTATTCCTCATCAATTTTTAGGAAAAGGAATGGCAATGCAAATTTTCCACATTTTTATGCATTGCATTTTAATGTATCACATTTTTATGAAAATGAATTGAGAAGAATATTTTTGTGTAATGGAGGAATATGAACAGCTTTTGATATTAATGATATCGTACAGCGCACAAAATTGAAAAAGTTAATACTCTGAATTACTTTTGGTCTACTGATCGGATTTTCACGAACAAAGATTCAATCCAAATTATTCGATATTTTGGCTACGAAATTAGACACAAAACATACTTTCTGTTAAAAAGAATATGTTGTTGATGAATTTTTGAGCTTTTTTTCTTCAAAATGGAGCGCAAGCAGGAAAATTTTGTCCCAATAGTTTAGGCAGGAAAGGGATCGAAAATTTAGAGACTCCTTACGATTAATTTCACTTTTTAAGTGTTTCAAATAGTTCTATGCTATCTAATAATCTAGTTCTATAATATTTTTTTACTATTTTTTTTTTCATTTATTAAAAAATACCCGAAAAGTTTTGAGTAGTAAAGTATGCAAATTTTTGCTTCATTTATAAGATGGCTGCGGTCAGTGTGCGGGTGGGTGACCACTTGGATCAGTCTGCGTAGGGACCGAGGGTGTGCGGTATTGGTCCTCGTTAAACTGTGCTACCGTAAAGTGCTCGACTTCGCGCGCAGGTCGTCGGGCTACCGAAGCGGGGGTGCCATCCCCTCCACAGAGGATCAAAATTGTGATGGCATGTCTTCGGATCATCCTCGGGGATGTTTCCCAGACTGTCGCCAATAGCCCATTGTGCAGCTCTAGTGCGACGTAAATTAACAACAACAGCAAATCATTTATAAAATGTAATTTCAAAAGGCAAAATACGAAATTCGAGCGAAAATAGTTGAATATATTTTAATAAATTAAATTTGAAATAAATGACTTTCTCAAATTTGATTGCTCAAAAACTATTCTACAGATTTTGTTCAAATTTTGTACTTTGTCATTGGCGATCGAAATAAACTACAGGTGTCGTATAAAACTCACTAACCTAGGGTAGCATTTCGCATGCTTTCAGCAATAGCGTGTGAAGAATCATAGGCGAAGGAAGTACGCCAGTTTCTCCTTTGATTTTCAATTAGGTTAAAAACTTTTATGTTAGGAAGCTATATGGAACTAAAAACACCATTGAACATAGTTAAAGAAAAAGCATCCTGGAAATTTTAAAAAATATTTGAGGCAATTAAATACAAGAAATACTAAGAACGGGGGAAATATGTAGTACATTCCTATACAACTGAGAAGAGGAGGTGAGGGAAAGGGAGAGGGTCAAGACATGGAAACGGTCCTCTCCCCAAATGGTGTATTCGATCATTGCGATCGCGTATTTGAAATTACATTTTTATACATGATGCAAAAACTTGTATACTTCACAATTTTAATTTTTTTGGCTATTATTTTAAAAATTAATAAGAAATATTAAATAATTATCAAAAATTATTTTTTAAAAATCTTTGTATAAACAAGTTTTATTATTTTGTACAAAATATTTCGACCGCTTTAAAAGTTCTCGAGATATGGCGAAATACGCAAAAAATAAAATAAACGTCAAGGGATTCAAACTTTCTACTGCTTTCCTATTAGGACCATATTTTCTAGATTGAGGCTACTCCCTATACTTTGAAAGTCAAAAATCCGAGTCCATTGGGGGGAGGGGGGGTAGTATGTTAACTCAGAGAAAAATGAATCGGATTTCGTAACTTAAAATATTGATTGTTCTAGTTAATTAGTATATAAGGTTAGGCCTTTGAATCATTAAGACTGAGTCACAGTACGCGAAAATCTGCCCATTAGATTAAAAGTTGTTCAGGGTATTTATTTTTTCGCGCATTGTACATGATCTCAGAAGAAAAATCCATTTTTGAACTACTTCTGTTGAAAAGAGCGAGGCGAAGAGTGCTGTTCTTTTTCAAATAATTTTTTTTAAAGGTAGACGACAATATGAAGCTTTCAAACAGCTCTATTATTTATAAAATGAGAATATTTTCGACGTTTAAGGTGTTCTTTAAACATATTTTTCCAACAATTCGAGTTACGTTGACGTACGTGTGAATTTTAAGTACAGAGGAAAGTTGAAAAGTTGGCAAGAGTCCGTACTGTTTTTCATTATAAGATGAATCCTGGGAAACTCTGTTTCAACTGAAATATTTTGCCGTTCTACGAATTTGTTCGACTTACTGTTCTACTAACTATCAGAAAAGATATTTGAAGTATTTTTAAAGTCTCAAATTTTTATTTCAGTTTTAAGCATGATGTTTGTTCATAAATGTAAATTTAACATTTATTAAGTTTCAAGTTGCAGTGTTTAATTGAATCTTTTTCACGAATATATTCGGTGAACCGAAAAACAATGTCGTTTTTGATACATTATATTACAAAATATATTTTAGCAAGGGTTTTGTTTTGTTAGATGCAAATATCTACGTTTTTAGAAAACTTTTTTTACCAAGCCTGCAAAATTAAAATCAGTTGATAAACATCAGTTGTAGTATGAAAAAGTCTGNCTACTTCTGTTGAAAAGAGCGAGGCGAAGAGTGCTGTTCTTTTTCAAATGATTTTTTTTTTAAAAGGTAGACGACAATATGGAGCTTTCAAACAGCTCTATTATTTATAAAATGAGAATATTTTCGACGTTTAAGGTGTTCTTTAAACATATTTTTCCAACAATTCGAGTTACGTTGACGTACGTGTGAATTTTAAGTACAGAGGAAAGTTGAAAAGTTGGCAAGAGTCCGTACTGTTTTTCATTATAAGATGAATCCTGGGAAACTCTGTTTCAACTGAAATATTTTGCCGTTCTACGAATTTGTTCGACTTGCTATTCTACTAACTATCAGAAGAGATATTTGAAGTATTTTTAAAGTCTCAAATTTTTATTTCAGTTTTAAGCATGATGCCCCTTCCTCGTTTGTTCATAAATGTAAATTTAACATTTATTAAGTTTCAAGTTGCAGTGTTTAATTGAATCTTTTTCACGAATATATTCGGTGAACCGAAAAACAATGTCGTTTTTGATACATTATATTATAAAATATATTTTAGCAAGGGTTTTGTTTTGCTAGATGCAAATATCTACGTTTTTAGAAAACTTTTTTTACCAAGCCTGCAAAATTAAAATCAGTTGATAAACATCAGTTGTAGTATGAAAAAGTCTGGAAAAAAATTATGAATTGGGGTGGGAGTTCTCCAATCACTTACCATACTTACCAGACATTGCACCATCAGATTTCAATATATTCTAACCTCTACATTTTCTGCGTGACAAAAAATTTTAAAACATGAATGATATTCTAAATGCCTCCTTCAGTTATTTTGCTCAAGAAACGATTGTTTTTTTTTTAAACAAGCATTTAAACGTATTGAAAAAAGGTTTCTGATGACGTGGATAATGCAGAATTAATAATTAAAATCTATTAACTGATTAAAATAGGTGCGAAGAAAATGGGTGCCGATTTTTGAACTTTTGAAACGTGTCGATTGTTATTTGTAATTTGCAATTTTTTTGCAGCGTATGATGTTTGTAATCAAGTAATATCTTACCGCTGCAGTTTCTTAAGATTACTTAACTAACGAAATAAATAAATTAATTAATAAGGAAATTAATTTTTCTCAATTTCTATGAAGTTTGTTGCAAGAGCATAACACACATTTCTTTTCGATCTTAGCTTTACCTCTCAAAATTATGCATACTTGATGATTTTTGTTTTTGAGAGAAATGTATTCATTTCATGTACAGAACGCAAAAAAACAAATAAATAAACGGACCACCCTGCATAACTTTTGATCTAATGAGCGTTCTAGAACTCAATCTTAATGGATCGAGGGGGTGACCTGAAATATGCTAATTAATTAGTGCAGACGATATTTTAAGTTACGAAGTCAGCCACAAAAACGTATTTTCTTTGAATAAACATACCTTTTTTTTCGGTAGATTTGGATTTCCGAACCCCAAAAGATAAGGGTAGCCTCAATCTCGGAAACATGGTTACCAAAGTTTCATCAGGAGAACGATCCAAAGCTTGGAAGCAAAGTTCATTTTTCCTTTTGCATATTTCACCATATCTCCAGAACTTTTAAAAGTATTGAATAACTTTCGCACACAATTGTAAAATTCGTTTATCCAAAGATAATTCCATGTAAAAATACATTTTAAATAATATTTATTTTTTATTGCTTTATTTAATAATAGTCGAAAAACTCTTGAATTGTAAGATGTGTATTTTTTTTCCCATCATTTTAGAGAATCCAAACTTAATAATCGAGAAGAATAATCGAGTAATTTCTGAGAAATCGAATTTTGAAGATTTTTAAAGTTTGATTTCTCAGGATTTATTCGACCAATTTTCGACTATTATTAAATAAAATAATAAAAAGTAATAAAAATTTATTACTGTTATATCTTGCATTAAATTATTTTTGGATTTACAAATTTTATAT